ATCCAGTCAGCACGCCCAAGAGTTTAGTTCCTGCTTCCCCTTGTTGCAGGTTTTCCCTGAACCGGCCTCTGCGTTCCCCACAGGTGCAGCTCAAGTCCGTGGTGGAGGAGCTGCCCGGTAAGCTGGAGACGGTTCTGGCTGAGTCGGGCTCCAACTTCAGCGTGGGTCAGAGGCAGCTGGTGTGTTTGGCCAGAGCCATCCTGAGGAAGAACCGCATCCTCATCATCGACGAGGCCACGGCCAACGTGGACCCCAGGTACCGCAGGACAAACCACACAGAGCTCGGTTCAAGCGTCCAGTCGTGTGTCAACACACGTCTATCACACGATGCTGTCGGGGGTTTTGGTTTTGAACCGTTTTCCTTGTTGCTGTGTTTTACTGCAGGACAGATGAGCTGATCCAGAAAACCATACGAGACAAGTTCAGAGAATGTACCGTGCTCACCATCGCTCACCGCCTCAACACCATCATAGACAGCGACCGCATCCTGGTGAGTCCTCTGGTCCGTCTCAGAGCTGCTTGAAGGATTCAGATCAGAAGATCAGCAGTTTTACATCGTGTTGTGTTCCAGCTAAACACACAGTGAACGAAGGCCCTTTAGCTTTTCCTGCTGCAGTAAAACAACTTTAACGGCTTTCTGAACATCTAGATTCTGTGTTTTTTAGGGTAGAACTCGTTTATAGCTGTTAGATCACTGTACCTGAGCAGCTAAATGATGGTTGCTGTTGGTCTTCATCCTGCTTTAAGGTGCTGGACTGTGGCATCATCCAGGAGTTCGACCGACCCCTCACCCTGCTGCAGAACACAGAGGGCGCTCTCTACAAGATGGTGCAGCAGCTGGGTCAGGCTGAGGCAGCAGCCCTGCTGCAGGCAGCCAGACAGGTGAGCTGAAGAAGGCTCCACGAAACGTGAGTCACAGTGCAGGCGGTCAACATGTGCATCTGAGACTGGTTAGATGGTTTGTTCACATTTACGAATATTTTACCAGGCAGCAGAGCAGCCAGCGGTCCTGACAACCTGAGGCCAGTGGAGCAGGACCGACGGCTCCACTGGACTCCAGATGCAAGTCGTGCCTGAGAAACCTGAGGCCTTCCATCACATTCAGAAACAAGAGGACGGAAGCGTTTGTTTATCAGTGAATGATTTAGAAAGCTGCACAATCCTGCTCCAGCTCTGGAGCTGTAGAGAACACTGGGCTTCCTGTTGTCTTCCACGGGTCTTCTTAGTGAGGTAAAGGTTTATTTTTTATGAACATAGTGTTTATACTGGTCCAAAGATCACAAGAGTTGTGTGTGTAATGCATCTTTTATATAGAATTTGACAATACAAATGTACAAATTGGCAGATAACATAACAAGTCTCAACATGTTATTAACAGATCAAAGTCATTCAACAAACTCCACATCATCTGTAGCAGCTGTGTTCAGATTCCTTCCCCTGTAAACTCTAAAATCAGTGGAGTTCAAATACAAGGTCCAAAACATTAGTGGTAAAAATCTTCCTTTTAGACTGTTCCTAAAATCTGGAAAATGTGTGTTTAGATTAGTCAAGGCATCAAAGTTGAAAACATTTTTTGCTGCAGTTAAATCTGTCTACCCCCCCCCCTCCCCGCACATGAACGTGTCGGCTTCATATGTGAATGAACACCCAGATGAACACCCAGGTCACTTTTCCTTTAAAGTCGTGCCGACAGTCGTACGATGCCAGGCTCACTAACATTCCTGTATCACTTCCAGCTTGGCACCGGTCTCAGCTGCACACAGACACACACAGTTTATGAGGTGTAGTTGAATAATTAGTTGTTGTTGTCCTGAGCTTACAAGGTCACCGTTACATCATAAATAAATGAGCTGCTTTGACTTTACACATAGTCTTGTGTATTAGACATGGCCGGGTGTGTGGTCCAGTCTGTGGCTGGTATGTCTGGATGACGTCGCGACAAACATTAACGGAAAAGTGACCAAAGTCGAAAAAACAAAATGCCTTCACTTGAACGAACTGTGTTGGGTCTCCTATGTCTGCAGAGGGCTTTAGGTTCTGGTGAACCTGTGTGTTCACAAACACAAAGGCAACGTTGGCTACAGGTATATCAGTACGTGTAGATTGAACCATTCAAAGTGCTGCAGATTTAAAATAAGGCACTCAGGTTTGTAAGGATTATGCGGCCATTTAAAAACGATTTCCTCAGCGTACTGAGCAGCCATTTAGCTTGATAAATATAAAGCAGTAAAAAATAAATAGTGCTCTGCATCAACAGTTCTGACAGCAGTGATTTCTCAGCTCTGTGAGCTTGAACAAACAGCATTAAATGCGCGCGTTTGGTTCAGACATTCAAGGCCCTCGAGGCTGCAGCCTCTCTGTAGGTCCTGTGCTCCAGTCTCCTCACCGGCTGCAGTGGGTGGGTGGGTGCGTTCACTGGGAGGCCAGTGTACAAGCGCAGGCACCTTCTGGAGCCCTCTGGCGTAGCAGTGGCTCTTCCTGAGCTTAGAGAGCTGTCTCAAAGATAACCAGGCTACCGTCTGCTGCTTCTGCATGTCCGTTTGACACGTTCGGACGGCTTCTGCTCGTGTAAACCTGCACAGACATCATTTGCAAAAATAGTTTCACCTAAAGCCATGAAAAAAGCTTTTTATTCTTCGATGTGTGTTGAGGTATTTGAGGGCGACACGTACCTGCTTAGCTGCTATGAGCAGAGCTGCAGCCTCCTGTTTGCCCGTCTGCTCAACCATCTTATGAAAGATCCCATCTGAATCCTGCAGCAGGGCGTAAGGCTCGTCATAGGCGTGGATCTCCCCCGCATCCAGAACCTGAACATGAAGCCACAGTTTTGTTTACTCATTTCAGAGAGCTGCTCCTTGACCTGTAGCTGTGTTTGCCATGTTTTACACAACAATGTAGAAAAGTTCCCAAAATCAGGCCCAGTCCTCCTCCTGCAGACAACTAAAGCAAAAGCTGCTTTGTCCGTTTGAGCTTTTCTCATCTCATGAAGACTAAAGCCTCGGATATGTCACACTGATGCTTCATTAAAGTGACGACCAATGTTCCACACGTGTTCCTCACAGCGCTGTCCAGACTCACAGTGACGGTGGTTTGTGATCTACTCAGGATTGGACAGAACATCAGAAGATGATGTTGCACTAAGAAACCAAAGATGTGATTGACACAAACAGCAGCTCATCATACATCGTCAGGTGTGGATGCTGATTGTAATGTAGGTTTAGTGACCCCCTAAACGATCTTTTCTACTTTGTTCTAACAAGAACTCATGGACTGTATAGAAACAGGACACCGTGTCTGGGTCTAACAAAGGGAAGCCAAACCTTCAGCCATCAGAGTTTTTTTTAACCAAAGAGTTTCTTGGTAATAATTTCTGTATTTGATGTAATATTTTGGAGGAACTTAATTTCCAGGAACCAAACCAGGGACTCAGTGCACAGGTCTGTTCGTAGCTGGGTCCTTGTACTTTATTTAAAAACAGATCGATTGTATCTAAATGACTTTTGCTTAAATGCTGAACAGCAAAAGCAACAAATCAAAGGATGACGATGTAAAAATGTTGAGATGCAACAAATGTTTTTTAACGACGACAAAATACATTTCATATTTGACATTTGCCTTGCCTTGCCTTGTAATTGCACCTGGTGGCGTTGGCTGAGAACTCCAAACAAAAAAATTGAAGTTGGCACAGAAGAAGTTACCACACCTCAACCGACACCGTACCAAGGCACCACGTTGGACTTGAATCGCAGAATGCTGTAGGAGGACTAAAAGCTCTTCAGGGCTCCTCGTTCTGTTTGTGACCCGTTTTCTGGAGAGCCATCCTGATTGTGACTGTCTGCTGCTACCTCTCATCTACGCTGTGTTGGTTTAATTCACCGTCTGTCTCTAAATTCACATCATTTCATGACTGTTTTTGATGCCTTTTAAATTTTTGCTCTATGAATAAATAAATATTATGATACACCCAGCCTGTGATGAATGTGATACCTGAGCAAAGAGCTCACAGTGTGCTGACGTCAGGTCAGTAATGCAACACTATGCTCCCAGCTATATTGGCTGGGGCAGCCTCACATGAATAATCTGCAGATGTGCAGTTAACCAGGCAGAACTGTCTGTGAACCAGCTCTAATTTGCAAACATGAACTGGCTGAGAGGCACCAAGAGCAACAGTCGACAGCAGTCTGTTGGATTTTAAGCTTGAAGCTGGTGAGCGGCGTCAGAGTTGCAAGCTTGAGAATGTTTTGTAAGGTGTTCCCGTCATTAGCTGCTGCAAAGGAGTTACAGCCAAAAACAGGCAAGGTATTGGGAATGAAGAGCTGTATGTCGTCACGAGGCCTAGTATGATAACAATTATGGGCAACGTGAAGAAGAGAGGACAGGTAGGGAGGTGTTTGCCGGTTACAGTTAATCCAAATAAAACACCAAACTGGATGACTGACTGTGAAAGCTGTTGGCAACTGGCATCAACAAAATCTGTGGTTTGCTGTGTAAAGTCCTACCAAAAGGGGAGGATCCGTCCCGTCCCTCAAACTGACGGTTCCTCTCGTACTGGGCAGGATTGCTGTTACAACAACACATCCATCAGCAGGGCAAAACTGACCTGTTGCATGACGATCTAAAGCCAGCTCACGTTCTCCATTAGTGGGTGAACAATCCAATGTTTGGTGAATTCTGCTTCACAATGACAGGAAGAGCCGACATCGAAGGATCAAAAAGCGACGTCACTATGAACGCTTGGCCGCCACGAGCCAGTTATCCGTGTGGCAACTCTTCTGAAACCTCCTGCTTAAAATCCAACAAAGTCAGACTGCAAACAGAAGCACAGCAACGAGCTGGACGGTGTTCTCAGTCAGGCAGCACAGATTCTGGTTAGGCGTCTGTTCAAACGTTGTTCCCCTGCTGCCTTGAGACATGCCAATGAGCTCGACTAAGGTTCAGACACATGCCACTACGCCTCACAAACAACTTGGCTGAAATCCAGTGAGCAGAAAATAATAAACAATAAGTAAGTGTGGAGGAACGTCCTTTTGAGATTTTTTTTCCCCCCTGAGGAACACGTGACACGTCACCATTGCGCAACGACACAGAACAGAAACCTGGAGATCTAGGTGGGGTCTCCTGAAAGTCCTTCAGCATGAGTGAACTTGCTCACGAGATTTTTTAATCACAGAGAGGACTCACCAGGATGCGGTCGCTGTCTATGATGGTGTTGAGGCGGTGAGCGATGGTGAGCACGGTGCATTCTCTGAACTTGTCCCGTATGGTTTTCTGGATCAGCTCATCCGTCCTGCAGCAACAGTGGATTTGCATGAAGTGAGACAAAGCAAGAAGCTAACATTTCTAGCACAAAGACTTACAACATTTGTTTTTACAGAATGTGGCCACAGATTGTCTGGTTGTTGCTGAAGTAGCTGCAGAGCTTTAAAACGGTGCAGCCATGTGCCAAGAGCTGCTCTGGAACAACACTTGGCACGGCATCTTGACACCTCCAAAACCTGTCTAACGTTACTGGGTTTTGTACCGTGTATTTATGCCAAAGGCAAATCTGGAATTCACCATAAAGCCAGCCAAAGAAAACACCATACCACACACATCCTGGCTCATAAGCACAAGATACACGTGTGTGTGTGTGTGTGTGTGTGTGTGTGTGTGTGTGTGCGCGTGTGTTATCCACCGCTACTCCAACCATAATGAAGACAATACCAACTTGACATTAGGACCAACAAAGACATTTAAAAGGCTTTGTACAATTTCTTTTCTACAAATAAGTGAAATGTATGTATTGGGCCCTTAATACAGTTTCTCAGAGGAAAAAAAAAAAAACAATCTCAAAAATACAAATATTCTCACGTCAGGAAAAATATGATTTTCTCAAATATTAATCAAATTATTTTTTACAAAATTTGATTTTTGGGTCGCAAATAACAAGTAAGCAAATTCTGGACAAAAAAAAATTGAGACTACGAGGCGACAGACTTCCTGAATTCTGTCTGAACCGGCATGGACTGACCTGCAGAATTCACTTTGGTTGGCTGTTCCGTCCATGCGTGTTTGTTTACTGCGGTAACAGCATGTTTGCGTTTCTGCAGACATGGCTTGAGGGAAAAACCCACAGCTCACTGCATTGTCAGACTTACATAAAGTGTGCATAAAAGACTCAAAACACCTGTGAGCGCTCACATTGACACCGACTGGGACGGCCCTCAGCCCTCGGGCGCTTAGCGAGAACACGCCTCGAAATCCGTGAGGATCTTTGACAAGTACGCAAAGATCTGAACAGTTTGTGCAGGTCACCATGTTCTGTTCCTGATGTAAACTCAGTGCACGGTACTGGCACACTATCTGCAGTACCTGGGGTCCACGTTGGCCGTGGCCTCGTCGATGATGAGGATGCGGTTCTTCCTCAGGATGGCTCTGGCCAAACACACCAGCTGCCTCTGACCCACGCTGAAGTTGGAGCCCGACTCAGCCAGAACCGTCTCCAGCTTACCGGGCAGCTCCTCCACCACGGGCTTGAGCTGCACCTGTGGGGAACATTGCAGCGACTCAGTAACCTGCAAACTGCGAGTGAATGATGCATCACATAAAGAGAAGTAAAGCTGAATCCTACAACATACAAACACACATCATGGGTCTAAATTGTTTACACGTTGGGAAACAGCAGCTACGTTGTGAGATTCTCAGACACTCTCTCCTTCCTGATCCTGATTGCATTCTTTAATTCAAACAGTTCCTTGTCTGGTTTCTTAATGGACATCCTCTGTCTTAACAGGAAAATTCCATGATAGCCACGACAGAATATGAAATAACATTGACATGACTGTGTCAGCATTTTTGGCTGAGCTGGAATTTAAAATGGACCTGGGGCGTTTGAATGGAACGGGTACATCGAGTGCCACTTACATAAGAAGGGAGGGGTTTGTTCTATATCGTGCTTCTGGATGTCCATTTCATTAATCCTTTTATTTTGTGCAGCTCTAATTTCTGTATTTTTGGCTCCAGTAATTTCAATTTCAAAAGAGCATGTCACATACTTCCTTACCTCTCTTCACTCATCGTTGTCTCTGAGATTTGTTTCATAACTTCCCACCTCAGCAGGTGGTAAACACAGTCTCACTAACCTCTTTCAGAGCGTTCCACAGTTCTTCATCTGTGTGTTGGTTGAAGGGGTCCAGGTTCTTCCTCATGGAGCCTGTAAACAGCACTGGGTCCTGGATGACAACAGAGGTCAGAGGTCATTGGCTCACAAAAACAGAATCTGAAATAAATGCCTGGACCATTACACCTGATGTGAGTGTTTCTGTCCTGCTGCAGGTGAAACTTTAAAGTATCGATGGCTCCTGAAAGATTTGCTATACACTAACCTAGGTGGGCACACAGTCCTGTTCCCCCACACAAGCCATCCTAATTGTGCATTGCAATTGGTTTAACACTAGGCCTGCTGTGCTCTCAGTTTTACTACACAGTGACAGGAGCTGAGCTCGCGTTGTACCTGAGGGATGATGGACATCTTCTGGCGCAGGTCATGGAGGCCGATCTCAGAGGTCACAACACCATCGATGTAGATCTTTCCCTGAGGTTCTGTCAGGCGGAACAGAGCTGAGACCAGGGAGCTTTTCCCAGCACCTGTTCTGCCCACAATACCAACCTGACAGACAGGAGAGAACAACAAGCTCAGGTCTGAGAGTGTGTCCAACACGCTGGTGCCGGTTGGTGTCTGAGAAACAAACCCATCTGACCTTCTCTTTGGGCCTGAACATCGCACTCAAGTTGTGCAGCACCAGCGGTCCTTCAGGGCTGTAGGAGAAGCTGACCTGGTCGAAGGTCACCAGGCCTTTGCTCGGCCAATTAGGGGGAGGCCGTTTCTGGGTTTCCCAGGGTGCTTCACTCTCCAGCTCAGTGTACTCTACCACTCTCTCCACTGAAGTCATCTGAGGACAGAAGAGCAGCACACATCCACATTAATATTCCTTATGACACAAGTTGGGCCTTGTTCCAAATTTCCTGATTACAAAGACGTGGTGACATTATTTTGGTGTTAGAATTCAGATGCGTCCCAACTGAGGTTTCGACTGCAGTTTCTTTCTGTTCAGTGGCAGCTCAGTTGCACACAAACCCAACAGTTTGCAAGGCTTCGGTAGGGAGAAGAGCATAGTTTTGATTTGAAGGAATTAAAGTAGAACTTAAAGTTAAACAAGTCCGTCCCCAGGGGAAAACGTTGAAGAAAATATGCTGCATGTAAACTGGAATATTGATGGAATATTCATTTGTATTGTAAACAACTAGGTAGGAATATTGTCTTTTTCAGGGCAAAAACAACAAAAATATTTGCAGCTTATATGCTGTTGAACACATACGACAGAATTACAGAGTAGAATTTGTGTGGAAAAACAATCAAAAAAGACACCCATCAAATGTGAATCGTGGTTTAACCAACAAAGTCTTTAAAGCATAAGTGAGACTCAAACGCTCAGGACATTTTTATAGATCCAATGGATACCACCTCAGTCTACAGTATGTTACAACCCAAGACAAACTGAGTTTCTTACCATGTTCTCCACCTCTGCACTCTGCCTGACACCCCACTGAAACATGCCTATCAGGGTGATGGCGTAGCTCAGAGCCAAACCAACAGAACCAGCATCCAGCTCTAACGGGACCAAGAACAACAATTTCATTATAACCATCAAATCTCACCAGCATTCACTCTCCTCAGCAAGGATCTACTTCCTCTCCTATATCAAGTGAATTCTTTCTGTGTGGAGGATTTCAAAGTGTCAGACGCTGGTGCCCCCTAGTGGCGCGTCATCAGCAACACAAAGCAAAGTGTTCAACTCTTCCTTACGGTCTCGGAGCAGCAGGCAGCCAAACGTGGTGATGGTCACGAAAATGGAGCAGAGGCCATCGAGGCGTACAGCAAACCAGCGAGAAGTAGTCAGGAACAGGAACCACGCCTCTGCTCAGGAGGAAGAACACAAAAAAGAAAGTCAGTGACACAGAACATTAAAAGCCAAGACTGACCAAGAAGTGCTGAGGCTGAGGAGAACCTGAGTGCAGGTCCTGATGGGCATCAAATGCTTTCTGGAATCTCTCCTCAGCGCCGAAGGCTCGGATCGTCCACAGGCCCTGAAGAGACGAGGACAGGTGGGAGAAGACTGGACTCCGAGCTGCAGGACAGGCGGTGAAGAGACAGTTTTTATCGTTAGAAACTTGTTCGCATTGCCTTAAAAACACACAATGACCTTTACCCTCTGAACACCAAGTGGTTTCTAGGTGGGTTTTGCTCATTTTCACTGAAACAAAGTCCTGCAGCTCTATGGAAACAGCACAAACATGGCTAGAAGCAGAGAGAACTTCAAAATGTCTTAGTTATATTGCCATAAATCTTGCTTACTCATTGTACAAAAACTGAAATCAACATGTCCACTTTTCCTTTTCAAGGGTCCACAGGAGTTACCGCCACGTTAGCCTGGATGTTTGTGCTTTTGCAGAATCTGGTTACGACACCTTTTAATCAAACATCCTGATTTTTAGCTTAGATTTGGTTGTCTTCTCCAACAACACCGAAAGTCACACGATCCAACAACAACAAAAAAAAAAAAACACACACCTTTCAAACCCACTATGAGGTTTTGGGGTTCAGAGGGTTGACGGTGTGGGTTTGAAACTGGAAATGAAATGAAAGAACACACAAAGAGCATGTGGGACACTAACTGGTGGACTCGAGGCGTTTGACGTTTCTGGACGTGTGCAGGAAGTAGCGACGCAAGTAGAGGAAGGCCAGGAGGAGAGGTACGACGGGGATGAGGATCCAGGGGATAACCGATGCTGCTACAGCGATGACCCCGAGAATCTGGAGAAAGACCTGCTCAGAGACAGCAGGAGACATAACGAAGAGTATTAAAAATAGGAGACTCTGTAGTGTCACTTATTATGTCATAAATCAAATAGTGAAGAAAAAAAAAAAGGGTCACCAGTTCTTTTCCCAAAAATCAAGAAGAGGAGCAGAAGTCTATTTTCTTCTTAGACTAGTTGAACCATGTGTTGAAAGGTTTGAATTTTTGCACAGTGATGCCAAAAGAAAAGCCCCCAAAAAACTGTCTACCTGAACCTGTGCGCCTCATTTCTCTCCAAGCACTTGGTGCCTTCACATGGACATGAAACCAATAAGTTAAATTGGATAAACATTTACAGTCAGTAAAAGGATCGGAACAGTTCTGTCGATGAGCAGTGACCCCTTACTTGTATTTAATAATGAAAATATGCGCCAAAGGTTTAATGAGCTGCAGCGTCACTGACGTGAGATCTGTTCTCACCTGAATGAAGTCCACAAAGGTCCACGGCATGTTGGAATCCAGCTGGCCGATGTCCTTGGAAAATCTGTTTAAGATTCTTCCTGAGGTGAGACAGGAAACAATATGAAAGGGTTGAGTGTAAAATCACCACTGGAGCATTAACTTGACCAACACGGAACAAAAGTAACACGAGAAGTACAATCAGAACTTCCAAATGGATATGCTTTCAACAACCACAACACTATCAACCTACCGATCGGGTTGATGTCGAAGAAGCGCACAGGGGTTCTGAGTATGGCGTTGAACATGAGGTTGTGCAGGGCCTGTGCACACCTCACCAGCACGTTGAACAGAACCAGATTCCTTAAGAAGCCAAAAATGATGGTGGCTGCAGTCAAACCTGGCAACAGAACATCGGTAAACGGTAAATGGACAGCACTGATATAGTTCTACCTTGCTGCTGCTGCTACGACGCGTTTCTCATTCACCCAATAACACACACATGCAAACACCAACGGCGACAGAGCTGCCACGCAAGCCTACTGGGAGCAACTTCGGGTTCAGCGTCTTGCCCAAGGACACTTCGATCGACAACCACTCTAGCCACAGTTGAGCCACACTCTATAAGAAACAAGTCAAATACCCAACGCTGCAAAAAGACAGCATGTGTTCACAGATTACCTGCATAGATTCCCAGGTAGAAATCCAGATTTAGCCCTTCGGTGGCGTTTTGTCCGTTCGAGGTGATGGTGCCGTTAGGGAGTAACTTTTCTTGCTCGTCAGCCCTGATCAGGTATAAATGGTTCACGGTTACAAACAAGTTCGTAAAAACATGCAAAAACTGAGCTTTCTATTGCTGTGAAGTGTATTGTTGTGGTTTCCATACTTACCAGTAAGCCAGCCACCAGTCCTGCATGATGTATGCCACCTAGAAAATAAAAACACTGTTTGTTTAAACCTGAATGATCACATTTATTGATTTATACTCGTCATGTGATCACTGCTCTGCATGCCAAAGAGCCACGTGTCCTCCAGAGGACTCCCCATTTACCTGAGCCAGTATGTTGACCAGCATGACGGCCAGCAGAGTCACGATGCTGGCTCCAGCTCGGAGGTATTTCACGTACAGACGCATTCCAATGGTCCCCTGAGCTCGACTCTCCTCCGCTACCGTTTGCACCGTCTCTGCCTGTGAGGAACACATTAACCCACAGAGCCATAAGCACTGTGATCCCTGTGTAGCATGTCTGCTGTATGCAATAAATTACACAACCTTTAAGAAACACAGGAGGATTTAGGTCTTCTCACTATGATGATTGAATTAAACTAAACGGCGTATGAGAGAAGCCTGATGTAACCAGAAAAAAAGATGTGAGACACTGATTCGCTGGAAAGACAGACGAGTTCAGACAAAACCCGAGCAGCACATTTTAATACATGATAAGATCATAAGATGTCACAGGAAGAACAAAACAAAGTCACTGCAGTCACAGAAGCGAAGCAAGACTCTTAACAAATCATCTTCTGTATATAATGTTTTCTCTTGCAATTTTGCACTGTGTGTTCCTACATTTTTCTTGTACTGACTTTACACTTGTTCTTTTTGGAGCTGCTGTAACGGTGAACTTTCCCCACTGTGGGATCAACAAAGTTTATCTTGTTTCATTTTATCTTATTGCTTGAGACTAAAAAGGTGTGAGATCTGACTTGTCTTGCAAACAGACTCATGTTGGCGCCGCAGCAGCAGCAGCAGCAGCAGCAGCAGCGAGGGATTTTGAAGAAAACACTGTTAAACTTGAGGTGTAGCCACATCTGACAACCAGCCTGGGACTAAACACATTTATTTCCTGAAAGTAACCCTGGTTTACTGAAACAAGGCTGGCTTCTGTGGTCATGTTGTACGCACAGGCAGTACTTGGCTGCTGATGCTAGTTTAGTTAGCGGTCACACTTCTGTTTCCGCGGTGGGGGAGTGGCAGATACGCGCCACCGTTACCACCCATGTTTACTTCCGTAAACACTGAGCACGCTCGCTGCGTGTGACTTCATCGTGTCCTCTTCTGCGCATGCGGGACACTTTTGGGTCGTATGAAGTTCACACAGCAGATCACATACAAGTCGTGTTCAACTGGAAATGTGAAGGAACTCAGAAAAAAATCAATCAAAAAATTGAGCATCAAGTCCTGCAGTGTGAACGTAGCCAATCTGTGGGATTGTTCAGTCAGATAAAACGCCGTCATCCTGATTGGTGACATAAAATGTCATGTCAGAGTCAGAATCCAAGGCTGTCGCTATGTTAAGGCTGTTTTTATGGGTTCCGTTCGTTTTTCCTAAAAACCTGTCGGATAGCAAGGTTTAGGATTGTTAAGGGTCGGATTATAGAGTCACGACTGTACTGTGTGTACCAAGTCACTGTGTCTGGAGGTCATTATAAACCATTAGGCACTGCCCTTCTCTGGTAAACAGGAAGACACTAATGTAATTCTAAACACATCTAAGCTTCAGCATGTCTCTGAGCTTGTGTCTCCTCTGATATCTGCAGCTAATGGGCCAAATTTTAAAATAAAGACACAAACCGGTAAATGGTCTCCATCCATGACTGATTGGACGGAGGAGGTCTGAGAGAGCACAGAGATCTGGGAGAGAGTTCTGCTCCTGCCGGGGACGTCTTGGAGAGGCTGCTGCTCCTCCTCCTCCTCCTTCCTGAGCAGCGAGGTGAAGTCCACTCCGGACTGCTGCAGCTCTTTGTATGTTCCCTTCGCCACCATGTGACCCTGGACACAAACACAGCGTCGTGTTTACAGACCACCTGAACACTACGTTATCACGTATACACAAACGCTGACAAGTTTACGGTTAATACATGTCAGTATGCAGGGATGCTAACCTCCTGAAACACTAACAGCGTGAAGTCCTGCTGTGGTGTTTATCAAACTACGGAAAGTAAAACGTTCTGTGCGTTTCTACTCTTCTACAAACAGCACCAACAGTATGGTCTGCTCTTAAAATACATCAGCCCTCATGTAGGAACGTTTTGTGAGCCTTGCTCCATCCTCCTCTCTGTTTGGAGGCCAAGAGTAAAGACAAGACTGAAGCTGTCAGCACAAACACAACCAGCTGAATTCGTCGTCCTGTTTGTCTGGCAAACAAACATCTTGTTAAGCTGAATACACAGCTTTCCTTCTAGGGTCTTCACACAGGCACCAACCTCCTTTAGGACGACAATCTGGTCCGCTGCCTTCAGGTACTGCAGCTGGTGCGTGACCAGGACACGAGGCTTGTTCTTCAGCAGGCCGCAGATACACCTGATACACGGACACAGCAGAAGTCAGGATATTATCAGCCTCTGGCTCCATTCTGCATGCGTAAATATTAACAGAGCAATAGCAACTTATTGGAGAATGGGAGATAAAAACTACTATAAAATGCTCAACATGTCTGCATGCCTTCCTTATCGTAGCTGTTATGTAATGGTTGGAGTCGCTGTATTATCCAAGAGGAAGAGTGTCACAGGAAGGCTGGGGCCAAGTTCAAATGCCTTCCTGACACTGGCAGCACCGCGCCTCTTCCTGGCTTAGTTCAGCTCGTGTAAACATTTTCTTGATCTTTGTCTGTTTTCACGTGAGTGGTGCTTTGTGGGTCCAAATGACAATGCTGTAACAACACTATTAAATAACCAGGCATTGTTGATAGGTCAGGGAGACCAGCCTGTGCAGCAACAACACAGATACATCCAGTAACACCCTCGTTTTACGGGAACCTTTTCCTACTGTGATGGGAAGCTGGAAGATTTCCACCACAGCTTTTAAAGACTCTCTAGTGGGGTGGGGGGGTGACCAGAACACCTTCTGTTTGAAGGAGGGAGAGATCACAGCCACTCAGGCTTGACAAACTGAATGGGTTGCATATGGTGAGAAGGAGAGTTTGTGTAGCTCTGAAATCACTCACTGTTCAAAGAGGTGTCTTCCGACCTCGGCGTCGACGGCACTCAAAGGGTCGTCCAGGAGGTAGATGTCTGCATCTTGATACACAGCCCTGAAAACAAACATCCATCCATCCATCATCTCTACACCTTAATCCTCACCAGGGCCATGGGGGGCTGGAGTCTATCCCAGCTGACTCAGGGCGAAGGCAGGTTCACCTGGACAGGTAACCAGTCTATCACAGGGCTACACTTGGAGACAGACAACCAAGCACACTCACATTCACACCTACGGACAATTTACAATCACCAATTAACCTCAGCATGTTTCTGGACTGTGGGATGAAGCCGGAGAACCCGGAGAGAACCCACGCTGCACGGGGAGAACATCTACTCTGTAGATTTACTTTTGTTTGACGCTAGCTACCACCTAATCTCTGAACTGTTGGCTATGAAGTTGCATTGTGGGTAATGGAGGTGGCAGGTTTTAAACAGGATGACAAATGTGTGGTATTCATTTTTTTCCTTTTTTGGGGGGAATTATTACAGTGGAGTCCTCTTTTTAACTCCATGCAGCCCTGCATTTCAGTGTCAAATAACAACGCAAAGCTCGTCTCCTATAGCAAGGAAGATGCTCTGAACATGACAGTCTTCGTGACAGCAAGACATCGTTTTATATTTACTGTTTGGAGGCATTTTATAGACAGTGAACAAAGACCGGCAAGAAAGGAGAGCAGGGGAATGACATGCAGTAAATAGTCCCATGTCGGGATCGGCACTGTGGTATGCACCCGGACGACTCAACCATTGGTTCGCCGCCAAGACCCATTTAATATTCAATGAAAGTACTCCTTATCCTTCACTCAACACTTATAAATATAAATAAAGGTGGAACATTTATCTATTCATGTAATAAAACTCATCTGGCTTTCTTCACACTCCACCTCGTACCTGGCCAGGTTGACACGAGCTTTCTGTCCCCCGCTGAGCGTGGCTCCTCGGTCCCCGATCAGCGTCTGGTCTCCATCAGGGAGCAGCTGCAGGTCCTGAAACAATGGACAGCAGAGCGTTGTTAATACAGAACCCACAAACACAGAAGTGGCCACACAGAACTTCACCTCCCCACGGGTCAACTACTCACAGGTTTTTCTTTATACAGTACTTTTTGCCGATATCTGACAGTAGGAAGGTGACAGAAAACGGGATGGAGAAACAAGAATAATGACGCCACAACCTCATGGTTTGGGAAACGTTTTGATTGGTGATGATTCAGATACTTCATCGAACCACACTGAAAGAAAACAAACACTTTTGTTTTTGCTCCTATTCTTCATGAGCTGAACTCAAAGATCTGGGGGTTAGAAAACCAGCCAGTGTCTGGTGTGACACAGTGCAGCACATCTTCTTCACACAGAGTTGGTCAGGTTGCTGTTTGTGGCCTGAGGAACGCTGGTCCACTCCTCTTCAACATGCTGTCATATACGCCGATCCAGAGCAAACATGCTCAATGGGAGTCATGTCCGGTGTTGGCTGTGCAAGAACTGGGATGTTTTCAGCTTCCAGGAGTTGTGTGTAGATCCTTGAGGCCGTGCATTATCATGACGTGATGGTCGTGGATGAACGGCACAATGACGGGCCTCAGGATCTCGTCACGGTATCTCTGTGCATTCAAACTGCTACCAAGAAAATGCATCTGTGTTCGTTGTCCATGACATACGCCTGCCCATACCGTACCCCACTGCCACCATGGGCCACTCGATTCACAACGTTGACAAACCGCTCACGCACACGACGCCATACATGCCATCTGCCATCTGCCCTGTACAGTGAAAACCAGGATTCATCCGTGAAGAGAACACCTCACCAAAGCGCCAGACGCCATCGAATGTGAGTGTTTGTCCACTCAAGTCAGTTACGATGACAAACTGCCGTCAGATGGAGACCAGGATGAAGAAGACGAGCATGCAGATGAGTTTCCCTGAGACGGTTTCTGGCAGTTTGTGCTGAAATGCTTTGGTGATGCAAACCGACTGCTGCAGCAGCTGTCCGGGCGGCTGGTCTCAGACCATCTTGGAGGTGAAGATGATGGATGTGGAGGTCCTGGGCTGGTGTAAGGCCGGTCGGACGTACTGCCAAATCCTCTGAAACGCCTTTGTAGATGGCTTACAGAAGAGAAATGAACATTCAATTCACGGACAACAGCTCTGGTGGACATTCCTGCCGTCGGCTAATAGTTGCGACATCTGTGGCATTGAGCTGCGTGATGAAACTGACCATTTTATTGTGGCCAGCCTCAGGCACACCTGTGCAATAATCACGCTGTCTGATCAGCATCTTGATACGCCACACCTGTGGATTGTCTCGGCAAAGGAGAAGTGCTCACTAACACAGATTCTGAGTGCATAGAAAAAGTCTTCTTAGAGTTCAGCTCATGAAAAACGGGAGCAAAAACAAAAGTGTTGCGTTTGTATTTTTGTTCAGCGTGTTGTCATTCTTCTGTCGTATCGTATTAAGGATGAGGACACAGTACACAGTAATGTAGGGAAAAAACAACACACATTAATATCAGGACTTAATTGTTGTGTTTTCTATCTTGTTGTTGTTCTCAGCACATGACAGCGTGCTACGTCTGCAACTGTCACAAAAGACTACAGAACGCTGCCGATGAAGAAAGACATTCTCTCTTCTCTCGATGGTCACCGGACCGTTTGATTCCACCACCTTTGTTCATGTGTCCTCTCACCGCCTGTCATTGATTAGCAGCTGTATAGGATGATGACCAGACCCCCGTTTCCATCACCTTTTGTTCATTGTCCTCTTACCTCCAGTCATTGATTAACAACTACAGGTCACCACACCCCCAAATTCACCACCTTTTGTTCATTGTTCTCGTTCCTCCGGTCATTGATTAGCAGCCCGTCCCTACCCTCTGACAGACCCTACAACATGTGTGACACTGCAAATGTTCTGGGTCAGCTTGCCTTTGCAGATTCGCACTGTGTCGGCACACCCACCGTAGACTAGTAAACAACCCATCACAGCAAACTTTGAAGGATTTACGAGTGAATTTTCTTCAACATTGCCAACGTATGAACATGACGAGGTTTAATGAGCTAATTGATGTGAAACATTTAGTCGGTTATTTAATTAGCTGTTTAAGCTATTTAAGTGTGGCAGGTGTGTCTAAACCTGTTTGAGGTTAGTGACAGCAGTACCTTCCCTGCCTGCTATAGACAGGCAAATGACAGCACACTGTTAGGTCTACAAAAGCTTCTCCAGCAGAAACTGAGTTACAATGACTAAGCAATCAGCTTCCCGATTGAGCAAGCCGACAGTGATGGAGTTGCCCAAGAACACAGTGAGTCAGCACATTAATGCTCAAAATAAAAGCTATTAGGTATGTTGTGTAATCGCATATTAAAAGATTGACTTGGTTTATTGTACTCAGATAAGCGTCTGCATCACACCACGCCACATGTGTTTTAATGATGCGGTAAATCTGCAGAGTCACAGGACGAGGAACTCAGTTACTGAACACGGCTTCAGCAACCTCTCCCCCAAATAGTAAGGAGGCTCGTCGCGTACGAGCCTCCTTACTATTCTAACAAACTATCACACTGCAACACCAAGACCTGTTTGACCGACCAGGACAAAGACAGAACCTCCAGGGTTTACCACAGACACAGCCTGAGTGCAAGCTGCCATGGAAGGAGGACTAAAGGATCAGCATAGAGACAAAATTCTTATAGCAAGGTGAAAAGTTTCAAAGGGTGGAGCGACATCCTCAGGCAACAGCTTTGCCACAAACCACAACCAAGTCAGCTATTTAACTATTAAGCACCTCAAACTTGTACTGGTGCCTACAAAACATTGTGCATTTCCCGTATGGTGACTGTATTATTTCTAAATCCTGATATGATGTCACACACGTACGGCACTTTAAAGAGAGCCTGAACGAGGTGTGATGGCTTCGGGTCGCGTTCCCTGGATGTGTAGTTTATTTTCTTTTAGCTTTTTTATTATTTACTTAGCCCTTTATCCTAATGTTTGAACAATCAATCCATTTAACGACTCCTGTATCCAAATCAAGGTGATCGGAAGCACTAAATAAACTCAACCTCACCCTCTTCAGAGCACAGGCCCTGATGGTTCTTTCATACTTCTGGGGGTTGAGCTCCTTTCCAAACAGGATGTTGCTGCGAATGGTTCCGGGAAAAACCCACGGCTGCTGGGCAGCATAGGTCAGCTGGCCGCTCACTTTCAGCACCCCCTTCTCAGCTGGAAGCTCTCCCAGGATGGAGCTCAGTAGGGACGACTGTAAGATCAGGCAGGCAGAGGGAAAGGTGTGACAGGAGCTGACTAACGAGGGGGAAAATTGACACAGAGCAACCAAACAATGAAATTAGCAGACGTCTGACCTTCCCAGCACCCACTGGTCCGATTACAGCCACCAGCTGATTTGAGTTAAGGCTGAAGGAGATGTTCTGCAGAGACGGAGCATCCAGACTCTGAATGGGGAAGACACACATTTACAGGTTATATGAATAATCCAGAAATTATTCTCAATAGTCACAAAGACAGAAAAAAATGTTCAAACGTTCGAGCTTAAATTTGTACACGCTTCTAAAATGTCTTTTTAGCCATGTGGATAGGGTTGCAGTCAGTCTGAAATCCATCCATCATCTCTACACCTTAATCCTCACTAGGGGGGGCTGGAGCCTATCCCAGCTGACTCAGGGTGAAGGCAGGTTCACCTGGACAGGTAACCAGTCTATCACAGGGCTACACTTAGAGACAGACAACCAAGCACACTCACATTACAGACAATTTAGAATCACCAATTAACCTCAGCATGTTTCTGGACTGTGGGAGGAAGCCGGAGAACCCGGAGAGAACCCACGCTGCACGGGGAGAACATGGAGACTCCACGCAGACAGATCCCGGGCGTCCTCACCGGGACTTTAGACAACGGTGCTAACCACCGAGCCACCTTGCAGCCCCCTCCAGTCTGAATTGTCTCACCAAACATAGGATGGACCACTATAGATTTCACTTGCCGAGTCTAATCCATCTTTTTCAATCACTGCATGTTGATATTTGTGTAACTTGCGGGCACTCTGTTGAAGTTTTACAAAACCAAAACAATGCACAGAAAAAGGAGAACACATCAAGTCAGCTGGCTGGGAGTTCTCCTCATGTACATCCCAGTTAGCTGAAGGTGTCCGACCTTGTCCCAGTAGCAGGTCAGATCCTGGACCTCCACAGCTGCGTCCCTCTTCTTATCCTTCTCATCCGGCAAAGCGGTGCTCCGTTTTGTGATCTCATCCAACATCAAGAACTCCTTCACAACGAAAAAACAAAATTGTGTCAATGCCAAGTTCTACGGGTTAAACAGAAACCCAGACGGTCATATAGCAGTAAAAAACGATTCTATCATCTCCACGGGTGTTACGTAATAAGCACACAGAAGCTGTCGAGGTATGTTTCTGAAGAAGACTTTTTGCTGTGGTCGTCGGGTAAATCATTTGTGTACGTTTCAGAACTGGCAGTCCTGGTTCTGTCGGAGGCTTTTTGTTTCTTCAAACTGTCGCCTCAAAGAGAATCCAAACAAAAAGTAGGCAACAACAAAGCAAACAAACAAAATAACAACAAAAAATAAAATTATATATCTTGTGAATATAAATAAATTGAACTGAATTAAATTATCTGGTTAGCAGCTGCATTTAATCCCAGTCTTATGAGAGAGAGACATAAAAATTGAAAGCAACTGCTTTGCAGAACTGGACCTTCAGGACGAGGCCACGTGAGGACGGCAGAGCTCGAATGATAAAGAAGTAGCAGCATCAGCAGTATAGCTGGGTGCAGTCGCTATAACCTTTTATGTGCTTTTATGGAAGTCGTTTCATCGAATGAAGAACATACAGACTTTTAGGATAACGCCAAACTAAAAAAACATGAAGGTGCAACTTTGCTGCTGCAGTTTGAGATCTGCACAGAATAAACTTCACACTGACCAAAGACAAACAAAACTCCATTCAGCAGACTGGACCTTGAGTGCGTTTGCTTTTTGTAGTTTTGAAAACTGGAGCACTGTACCTGAATCCTTCGGATGCTGACGCGAGTCTCAAACAGCTTCTCGACGGCGCTGGGGAAGAAGAGCGTGACGGTGAGTCGCACGGCGGTGTACAAAGACACCGTCACGAACACGCGGCTGGCTGTGAGGGTGTTTCCCAGGAGAACGTAGACGGTGAACGTGATGAAGACGATGATCTTGCTGGCGCAGAAGAAGGAGGCCATGTTGAGACCGCGCAGGTAGGAGCTCTTCATGATCTTGGAGATCTCCTTCCTAAGACAACACAGAGTTCCAACATTAGAGCAGGTGAGAAGCACAAAGCCTTCAGCATGCTGCCTGCCTGGACAAACGTGATGAGGGATGTGGAGCAGTGGATTTATATTTATATTCACAACCTTCAATTATTACAACTATTGCAATAGTCTGTCGGTCTGCGTAAACAAATTACAGTGACACACAAAAAAAACAAATAATTTAGATGTAATCTCAACTACAGCAGCTTTACGTATTACCAAAACCAGAGCGAAGACTCGCTTGTGGCAAACACTGCGACAAATAACTGGTTAAGGAGACGGAGGACTTTCACAACCTTAAACTGTTTGTTTGACTGAACAGAAAATAAATAAAAAGCAGCAAGTGTAAATATTCTACACAAACACTCATGCTGCATTCGAAGCATCCGTTTCTTTTCATGAACCTGGGAGGGATTCCAGTTGAACATTTTGAACTTAGCAAGCAAGTGAAATGTTAAAACCTCCATCAGGTACTCTTTAGGAACGACACCGAGAGATCCAAAACAGCACAGAGCAGCTCCACCGACTGCAACTAAACAAGGGCTGTGGTCTAAAAGCCAGGCTGGCACAGCTCCGCTCGACTTTAAATCAAGCGCACAAAGTGGCACCGGCTCTGAGCTTTCTGATGTAAACAAACCCAAACTGTTTACATCCTGTGTTACTCACCGACACGCAAACCCTTGAAGGTCTAACAAACTCGTCAAGCGCGTTTTCTTTCACATGAAACATTTAGGAAATCTGGTATCGTTTACGTCCGTGTTCACGAGCCAGAAATGTTCCTCTTTTCCAGCGTATCTTGGTGTGTTAGCATCAGTGTAGAAAAAGGCTTCTGGTCCCACTAGAGGGAACAAAGAGCAGCTACGACTATGTGAGTGCAGGCATCGAGTCAGGGCACGCAGTCTCACACAGTGAATGCTGTGAATCTGTAACCTGCCCTCTGTTACTGATGGGTACGAAGTAAAACATTCATGTACATAGATTACTAAAGATCACAAATAAACAGTAGCAAAAATACTGTACATATTGTGAATGATTAAACTCTAACTATGATAGAGTTCATACACTGAAAGCTAGTGTTTCCCTAAAACACGACAGAAGAAAGAAGCTCTTGAACTGAGCCGGCATCTCTTTAAATGCTTACACTGATCTATTTTTAAAAACATCCCTTATGTGGAGGAAATTGCTGAGTATAAGCACCCTTTCATGTTTTTACCTTCTGACGTCAGAGACCAGAGCAGCGAAGGGCTTCTCCCAGGCGTACATCTTGATTATCCTAATTCCAGACACCACTTCGTTCATTGTGCGGATTCTGCTGTCGGTGAGAACGGCCGTCTTACTTCTGCAGAGGAACGTAGAAATCTGATTTTAGCATAAATGTTCTGACATCATTTAATGGAACACTCGTTAAGACATCCACAACGACACATTTGCTTTTAACAATCCCTTTTCTTTTACAGCTACGTAAAGCCCACAACAGATATGAGTACATTCCTGCGCAATTACACTTCAGTGCCAAACAACTCAAAACTCTGTCACCTGACAATGATTGAATCACTTCTAAGTGGGTACGTGGTCTGACGTGAAATTAAAACCTTACAGTTCAGATTTACTATCATAAAAACACAGGCCCCACAGTAAGAACTACATGCAACTGAAGTCAGGACCAAATTTTCTTCATAATCAGTTGAATACGTGTCCGGTTCTGTGCACTACTGGACCGAAGCGGCTTCATTTGGTGACATCAGCAGCGCACAGCTCAACGGGTTTGCAGATGAAACATATTCCCTCAGTATCAGGAGACAGTTTGGATAAATGGAGACGCTTCCTCCAGCCGATTTAAATCTGAAACTCTGGACATAACCTGCTCCAGACCAGGTCAGCTCCACAGCATCAGTTACCATGGAGCCATCGTGACACGGAAAACTCTGACTTTAGGCTCAACGTACCTCGCTGACCCACTGATCGCTTCGTAGCATCGCTGTTAAGTCAACCAGTATTTTGGTGCATCTACAGGCAGTCATGGTGCCACCCACACAACACCTTTTCCACTCATGTCACCACATGGAGGCTCCACCTGAACAGAGCAGTTTTATTTTGGCCTCACACGACAAACAGAACGTGTGTCAATATTTGTCAGGCTTCTTTTCATGTCATTAAGTAAAGCTTAATCCTGCAGTGTCATTCCAAACAGCAAGCGTGGGTATTTTTCTTGGATGCTGTCCACAGAGGCAGAACCTTGAACTGTCACATTGATAACCTCTGTGTGCCATCTGCTTTTTTTTTTTAATTTAGAGCTAGACTGTGCCGATTACTGCATTTTGATTGAAGCCTCGCACACAGATTCTTCTTCCTCTGGCGGTTCTATGAGCTGTGGAGCCATGATGCAGATAGACACAGGCCAAGGGTGCAAAACTGAGAAAGTTCTGGTGTCCATTGTACAACCATGTGGTTCAGCTAATAGGAAATCACAGGTGTTTGCTTTGTGATCACAAGGGCAGACGTGTATGTTGCATTTAATCTCTACTCTGGGGCAATATAGTGTCCATAAACAGTTTGTTTTTGACTGTTACTTAGAGCTAATGCAGTTGTTAGGGCCCCTGGTGTTTGTGCCGTCTTGTTATGTGGTGGACTTGTGATCATTGTGTGAGGAGATGGCCTTGCTGTGGCTGCCTCAAGACCTGCTCCAGATCCCACCTGGCAGACATGAGGGGCGACTGTCCTGGAGCTCCAGACCTGCTCTCAGCCGTTCTTCTCCAGCAATCACCACCACACCTGGTTATAAATCTACAGCCAGCCTCTCAGTCGGGCCGGCTGGGTTTTAACATGCGCCTCTTGTTTTTGTGTGTGAATGTTAACTTCTGTTGGCAGAAGCTAACTTAGTGTGAAAGTTACCCGAGTCTTGGTGAGCTTCGGTTAGCAGCTGTCCAACTTGGTTTATGAGTTACTCGTGTCTTGAGGTGCTTGTTGTTTTAGTTTCTTTTGTTGGTTATGTATTGAATTTCAGTTTGACCAGGGTGTTTTGCTGTTTTTGTTCAGCTAGCTTTTGTAACTCAGTAAACCTTTGCTTGGTTTCATTTGGTTCTTTGGTTGAGCAGCAGGTTTATTTATAGTATCATCCAGCTGACCCCAGAGGCTGGACAGCAACGGCAACTATTCAGAGGTGATTCCAATTTAAATCATTTGACATTCAAGTGACAACTTTTGTATTCTGCAAATTTCCTCTTCAGCCTCACTTTAATTGGAGGTCACCAAAAGATTACACACAGTCGCTTAAGTCTCTAACTGTAGCTTCAACGGAGTCTGATTTTTGTCAGTCGAATTGGATTTAGCTGTTGATTCAACCATTAGTTCCTTTTTTCTATCTGGCAATCAGGAGTTTCAGTGATGATTTCGAGCACATTGACCACCAAATGCAGAAGAACTTCAGAGCAGATATTAGGGCTTTAAAATATAAAAACAGCTGCATATAGTATGATGCTCCCACACAGGTTTCTCAGATTGCACCTAAAACGTTAACACTGTGGTAAATAAATGAATAAAGCAGTATTGCCTGCTGTGAAGGACTTACACACTTTGAGTTGTCCTTCAAAGGTTCAACATCCCACCACACTTTCAACTTCCTCTGAGAGTTTCCCCAACCACTCCAGGTTTCAGCTTCTCTCATCAACTAACCACCAGTGCATGTTTGTAGATTATACGGATTTATCCACAAGGGACAACGAGTCAAAGCTCCGTTTTGCAGCCAGTAAACACACTCTATTGTGGACAGAGGACTGAAATAGATTACGCTGTGTTTACAATCTGAACTGCCTGGATGCAAGATAATTAGGTAGCGAGCAACAAGCGATGCAATCTGCCCGCAATAGTTTTTAACTGTGAGAGACTATGAAGTTGTTTTTAATGATAAACCCTGTTATCTATAAACTGCGTGCATGGAGAACTGACAGCAACAATAACTAAGGGAGGAGGCTCCAAAGGTCTCACAGCGACCACAATGTCTGGTCTCGTGTTTTACCTGAACTTTGAGAAGAGTCTTCCGAACATGGTTTGGGTGGGCATCAAGAACATGAGGACCACCATGCCCGCCAAGCACGAGGGACCGATCTCGACCCACAGCAGCCCCACGACTACCGCTGCCTGAAGGGGCCCCACCCACAGGAAGTGCAGAAAGATGGTCACCTGTTGAAGAGAACATGAAGAAGCTGTAGCAGAAACCAGGGCGACTCTTTTCTCCTCACATTCAGCACGGAGCAGCTTCACAGGGAGAGTCGATCCCTCTGCAGCTCGGAAAGCTTTAATCTAAACCAGTAGTGGAGCACGGCATGGTGTAATTAACGTCCCACTGCCAAGAAACAAAATGCCCTCTAGAAAGCAGAGTTTCACAGCAGGCTCTGCCCTACTGATTAAAACGAAACTCAACATTCCAGTGAGACAAACTGGATTTGGTGCTCGGAGTGTAATTAAGCCCAAACCTCATGCTGGTGAAGAGATCTGCCAGCGTGCTCTGAGTGAACGCAGTCAGGACGGCGTTGACGTGAGACGCTGTGATTTGACATTATTAAGATAAAGGCATGGTACGTGCATCGTACCTGGCAGCTATCAGGCCCAGAATCTACATACTTCATAAGTGGTGACTCATAAATGCATTCCTCAAGTCCTTTTACTTACTTATCACCTGATGTGTTCCAGCTAATAATACCTGCACAGTCCAAACCAAACAACCTCTGAATGGGGGCCATCCTAGACTGGAACAAGCCAACTACTATTCAGGTGTTCATCGGCTTCAGGTGTGTTCTTTTAAGATTAAGGAAATAAATGATGCCAACCTAACAGAAGATAGTCTGACTAATTCAGGTTAGTTTGTTGTATTCTACAAAGTCAGATGGATAAACATTTGTTTTTGTCACAGGACATTTGAATTCATGTGTTTATAATGTAGATGTAAAGTTTATTTTCTCTCGACAATCTAAATCTCGCTTGTGCTGTATCCAGTCCAGGGGCTGAACAATCCTGCCTTAAAAGTGGATGTAATAGGACACGCCTTTGTTTTATGCTTCACATATTTCTGTAGTTGCATTTCATTTCGGTATATTTTTATTTTAAGGTAACTGCATCTCGAGAGGCGACACTGGTGGTAAAGTACAGACTGTGTGAGCTCTTCTGTGCCATCTGCAGCCCTTTTTGTTCCCTAAAAGCTTGAGTCGTCACCTACATCATCAAACCTGTTGACATCATTGGACAGGAGGTTGACGATCTGTCCCGTGGTGGTCTTTCCCATGGCTGACGTGCTCAGACACAGAGCCTGAAAGACAGAAGAAAGAAACCAACACTATTAAATTCAGAAGTTATCAATTTTATCCTCCTTTTTATGACTTCCGGCCTCTTCTCCCCCTCCCCCCCGCCCAGCACACATCTTAAAGGATTACCTGACGGAACTTGGCAGGCTGCACCAAGCACAGGAATGCAGAAATTTCCTTGGTAGCCTTCAAGTGTAATCTGAGCAGCGTTCTACGACAATCAGGCGGAAACTTGTGTTGTGTTATTGAGCGCTACTGCTCACCTTCTTGTAGATCATGTGACACATGGCCACTCTGATCTTCATGCCGGCCCTCTGGACGTGGTAGAAGTACAGGTGATGGAGCAGCGCCAGGCCGATGGTGCAGACGGACAGCCCGGCCGCGTAGCCGAGGTTCTCGTACAGGGCGATCATGTCGTTTGGGTCGTAAGTCTCAAAGTACCGAATCAGCTGTCCGAGGAAAACTGGCTGGATCACTTTCATCACCTCCTGATAAGCAGGGACAGAGACGTAGAAGGGTGACGGTTATAGAAACATACTGACTAAAAGCAGTAATTTATTGTATTAGATTCCCTTTATGTCGTCTTCTAGCAACCCAACACTCTTACTTCTGTGCATACAAACATGCTTTTAATGCTAAAAATGATGCAGCTTATCTTCTTTTCTGTAACTTAACAGCACATTTAGGGATTCTACGTCCCATTCATCTCATTTCCAAAGCTCGGCACAGGCTTCACACTGACCTCGATCAGCGTAAAGAATCCCAGCACCGCGTAACGTTTCCAGTAGCACCGAATGATGACTCTGGAGAGTCTCGGTTTCCGCATCTCTTTGGTCGCCTTCTGGACCTCGTGATCCCAGTATCTGTCAAACACAGAGGCAGCGTTGGCTCGGTTACTGTCGTGTCATAAATTCTAGCATCCCGATGAGTCGGGACTCGCCTGTGAAGCAGCAATTTATTAATTGTATGATCAAAGAAAGGCTTCCCTTTCATTGTATAACATGACTTGTGTGGTTAAAGGCAAGTTCCAACGTATCCACAGAGTTTCTATGAAAACCTGGAGGGGAAAAAAAAAAACAATACACGCCCAAAAATGTATAGTTCCATTTTTAAGGAGGCTCGGGGAAAATACAATATTACGAAAGCTGGTCCCAGTAGTTTTAAAGGACACAGTCATCGATGGGTTTGGTCTTTGCATGGCTGGACTTCATGGTATGAAGAAAAACTCCACCTGTCTTCCCTGGAAGTCACTCCAGAGATGAAACCAGACGTCTGTAATCCAGTCGCGCCACAAATCACACAAATTGCCCCAAATTAAATTCTCCAGACTTTGTGCAGTTGACTCTACGGACACAATAAATCCAACGAGATGGCATCTTGTCCTTTCTTTTTTTTTTAACAGAACAGATCAAAAGCAGTCTTATCTAATCATGTTTCAACATTACACACAAATCAATAAATAATGACTCATGACGAACGAAACCGAGCTGCGTTCAGGACAATATTTCACGCTCCTTTGAGCGCCGATAAATTCAAATTTCATAGAAAAATAACTGGCAGGTAATAAGCTACATGGCTATCCATCGCAGCGTCAACACTTCTAGACACAACAGCTGCTTTCCTCCACCTTTCCTCCAGCGTACAGTAAACTTTATGACCAGAATTAAAGCCCAGCGTTATTGGTGTCCAGGAGAATAAAGAAGCTGCATTTAAACATTAACCTGAAACTTGTTTTCAGTCGTCTTTCATAAACATCCCAACATGAATCGCGGCTGTTTGATAACGCTGCAACCGTTTGGCTAGTGAGAGGACCGGGATCATCTTTTGAACCGTCAGTTTGTTTTTATGACTTCTCTGGTTTTTGCCTGGTTAGCGGAAACAAATATAATGGGTTTGTCTTGTATAGATAACAGGAAATACATCGACATCTGGTAAATAAACTAGACCCATTGCCTTTACTGCATGCTGACTGCTTATATACCGTCATGTGTAGCCTACCCCCCAATGGTCCACTCTGAGTCAAGAAAAACTCGAATTACCGGAAATATTTAGCAGGTTTTTAGGTCTTGAGAATGGCTGACTGCAAGAAACACTCCTGCAATGCAAATTTAGGCATTTTTGAACGAGTGAAAGTCTCTTCAGGCCACTACAAGTCAAGAAACGCACGGTTTGGCTGAACTAGTCGGAACAAGAAGTCACATAGAAGGTGTACATCTGAAGTTTCTTTAAAGCTATCTGAGCATCACGTCTGGAAAGAGCTGGAAGTGTTTGGTTCCACAGACCACTGATGCAATCACCGGCAACACGTCTTTAAGTCAGCCACGGTTACATATTAAGGGGATGTTTGCAGATGCTGCCATGTCCAGCAAGAGACGCACGAGGCTGACCTTACAGTAGTCTCTACATTTATACTCTGCTGAAGTATTACACGTTTGTGACAAACAAGGATAGCTTTACCCTGCGCTTCCCCTGAAGCTCCTCAGGGAAACTTTGCAACAAAACTGGTCTGAAACTGCTTACAATGGTTCCAAAAACACGTCTGGAAATGGGAGTAGGAGGGACGCCAGTGGACGGCGGTTTAAAATTCATTTATATGTATTTTGTCAAGGAAAAAGAAAAACTCTTCAACTGCAAGAAAATACTGGCAGTATTTTTATACACCATGTTTTAGGTTGTGTTTTTTGTGATGCAATAAATCTCTATATTATAAAGTCTGTTTATGCTGCAGGTAATGACAGAAGAGCTCAGCTGACAACTGCCCCGGTAACAACACACAGCACCGCTCGGGGGGCTTTCAGGGGCGCAGCAGTGACTGTAAAACAAAAGCCGATACACACCTCAACCTAAAGTGACCTGCATAACAAAGCCCTGTGACAGACTGGTTACCTGTCCAGGTGAACCTGCCTTCACCCTGAGTCAGCTGGGATAGACTCCAGCCCCCCAAGACCCTAGTGAGGATTAAGGTGTGTATAGATAATGGATGGATGGATTTTAAAGGCCTCTACCTCTGCAGGTCCTGGCCCAGGTTGTCCGACTTGTCCTCGGTGAGCACTTCGTACATGTCATCTTCCTCCAGCCTGCGTTTGTAGCCGGTGTGGAACAAAGGATTCAGCCACCTGAGGACACGGGAGTCAGAATCAGCTTTAACAGGAAACACAACAAACAAGGAATCTGGTTTTGGTGTCGCCCTGGGAATGGGCAAGAAATAACAGAAATGGGAGAATAACAAATGTAAAGAGAAGGACAGTGTATCTGTTCATTGTGTAACTCAGCACATCATCACACATCACAAGCTGCTGCTACAGCCCTGCTATAGGCTACAGAACACAGACATGAGCATGACTTAGAACATGAAGCTGGAGGTGTGCAGCTGATCCACTGGAACATGTAAACACGCTGGTCAGAGGCGCAAGACCACAAATAGAGGGTGGTCACGTCCATTCCTCTGAACTAAATTTGACTTTCCAGGAAGGTATTTTACAGCCACACCAGAGAGAGAGAGCCCCCAGACCAGAGCCCAGCAGCCCCTTCAGTCAGCCTCACTGGCAGGTGAGGGCACAGGTGTGTCAGTGATGGAGACCCTGTCATGGCTCAACGCCACATGTTTAGAAATCATTAATTCCCCAAACTGTCCGTCCATTGTGCCTCCTCTTCCGATGTGACCGACAAGTGAGGAGGAAACCAACTTTCCAATCAAACCCGGATGCCGGGAGCAAAGCGACGTAAGAGGACCCGCATAAACACGCAGCGGACATCCGTTAAAGTCACTTCTACGACCGTTTTCTACCGTTTAGTCACATTTTAACAAACTTCCGTCTCCAGGCAGCGCGTGCTGCTCGCGGTAACTTCCAGGTTGCGCGCTCTCCTCCTGCCCATAGGTAAACACAACAGCCATCTTTACCGTGAACTTTCTCCCGTCTCCACATGTTTAAAGCCCCGCTAAGCTAACCGCGGGTACCTTCGGGGGGTCCGGTTCGTCGACTTACCAGAAAAACACCTTGGACCAGAGGCCGGCCGTGGCCGCCGGGTTCGTCTTGGCATCTTTACAGACTTTTTCCATGGTAGCCCGCTCTCACACGGTGGTTCCCCCCCACGTCCACGTCCCGCTCTCGGTACCGACCGCTGCTCCAAACTATGTGGTGGAAGTTCGGGACAGACACATGTTCGCCGGAGGTCGGCGGCTCCAAGGTGTATTACGTACTCCGAGCGGCGCACGAGTAGGCGGCACACATGCACATAAAACGGCACTATACATTCGCCCCGCCCCCGACGCGCCTGATTGGCTGGAATCGTGTTCGCTCAACGCTATTGGCTGCGGAGCTACGGTGAGATGATCCGATTGGCTTACGATTCTGGCAGCGCATACAATTGGCTGTGCGCTCAGGGAAAATTAATTTCAGTCATTTTTGCTTGGAATGTAAAAAAAAAATAAAAAATTAAAGCAAGGCCTGGGTTGGAGAATGTGTGTTACTAATAGCAACTAAAAGGAAAAAAAAAAGAAAAGAGAAAAGCGCAAGATAATACATCTAGTTTATTTTATTTATCTCAAACTATATGTATATATATATATATTTTTTTTTTTTAAAGAATAAGCAATGCGTATATAATACATAAGCAATACTCAATAACAGAGAAAAAAAGCAGAAAAGAAACTGATATAAACACAACAATGCACAGACAAATGTCAGCTTATATCTAGTTTGTGAAGGAACAGAATGAAGCTTATCTAGTTCTGCCTCTTCTCTACAGTGTCAAACAACAAACTAATAAACAAAAGATCATTCAGAATAAAAAATCAATCCTCCAAAAAACAACTGGTGAAAATATAATTAGCTTTAATTGTCTTCTTGTACCTAAAGTCTCCTATAGCGATGCTGTTCTTAATATAAATGTCCAAAATCTGGTTTAGTGTGAGGAATTTTACCAATAATGGCTTGTTTGCACAGTTTTCCTTCTTATATAAATCTAAACATCAACCCAAACTATGTTGAAATACATATACTGATTTTAAAAAAGTGTTTTTGCTCGTCCACAACAGTTACAAGAATATTCAGTACAAGTCTTGAATTGGGTTATATTTACAGTCATTATTCACAGTATCCCTGTAAAGATGTAAACTCCCTCATTTCTCTCTTTCCTGTGTAAACTTAATACAGTTTCATCATTTTACAGTCAGACAGACAAACTTTCAAATGACTTTTTAAAGTTATGTAACAATTTGGAATTAATTGTAATAATCTAAATGGCATGTTAACAAAATATAAGTGACAAATCTGCTGTCGTTCTGTAGTCAGTAGTGAGTAATGTCAGCTATCATTCAAGGCCGTAGTGTTAAATATCCAAATGTTTTGTACTTAAAGCAGATCAGAGATGTCGTCCAAGAAAACTTCCTGTATGTCATGTGCTGCAATCATACCACGGCCACTCAGCAAAAATTCCCTGTTCCTCATTGTGTCGGCCTGTCTTTGTCTTTTGCACATGCAAATGGGCTTTAAACTTGTACAGTCACGTAGAGTCACCGAAAAACTGAGTAAAATGTGTTCCTGGCCCATTGTGCCGAACCTGATATGCAAGACCTGGCTTGAAGAGTTTTCTAATCCGAATTTTTCCATGGCAAAGTAGCCTTTTGTTTGCATGCTTAGTGACTTTTCCTTTCACAAACACACAGACGTAGACACAAAGAGGATATCCTATAAATAAAGAGCAGCCTGTGGATGGGAGATGGGCCCCAAATCTCTACAGGTGTTTCCTGCACTGACATAAAAGACATGAGAAAGAGCAGAGACACTTCAACGCCTCCCTCCTTTCCTCCCAGCGCTACACTCCCTGCACCGTCCTTCTCCTTTTACAACTTTCCATGTACAAGTAACTAAAGGTAAACTATTATCCTGACGCTGTCAATGTAATGATAACAAAGGGGACTGGTCATGGCCTCAGACCTCACACGTGATCCCCCTGTTGATGTTTAGCTAGCGCTGACTGGGAGAAGGGCTGAAGGAGAGAAGCCAGCAGGAGATTATTGCAAGCAGCTGAACTCAGCCCAATAACATTCATTTGCAGGGGATCAACACTCCTTTCCCATGCTATCACTGCCCTGTGATCAGCCTGCTTCATTCCTCACAAACTCCCAGGTTCTTTTTCTTCAGTGAGCACAAAGGAAGAGGTGCAGTAATTACAGTTTACAAGATTTACGCTGCATGTCTTATTGTTTTGGTTCAGGTAGAGTAAAAGTGATGGATAAAACGTCTGCCAACTCATCAGGAGTCGTCCCTGGAAAACACAAAATAATTTATATAGTACATTTAAAAACAGCACGAGTTTATCCAAGAGATGTTGTAGTTCATCGCTGTACAAAAACAACTTTTAATAGAAAAGGATTTGAGAGGTCTGGAGGCAGAGTGTGGGCTGATAGGATCTGAGATAGAGGCCGGTGCCAAACTATGCAGAGCTTTATAAACAAATAAGAAAATCCTAAAATCAACTTCATGCTGAGGGAGGTCAGCACGGGGGGCAAGTGGAGTCTCACTGTTCTGAACCACCTGCAGGTCAGACTGGGAGAGATGGTAAATGGTCTGCACTTACATAGAGCCTTTCTACCTGAGTGGTACTCAAAGCACTTCACACACATTCATATGCAAGCTGCTGCCGGCCATTGGGACACTTTGACTGTGGAGGGACGGGGAATCGAACTGCCAACCTCGCGATCAGAGGACAACCTGCTCATGAGGTAACGACAGATTTTAATACAGTCCGAAGAGCTCCTGAATTTTTGAGAAAACACAGCTTCTATAAACTGAGAACAGGTACTGCTGTAGATCTCTAGAACACCATCGTCGCAGTTAAACACGATGGTGGCAATGTAATGCTTTGGCTTAATGTCTGCGGTTGGAGTTAGACGTGTACAGCATCACAAGAAAAGACGGCGGCATGAAGATTGAGGAGGAAAACATAAAGAAGTTTATATTATTGGTTGAACAAAAATGAAGTAAAAAGCAAAATCTGGCATGGCTTTGAATAATTCGGGGATTAACTATAATGTAAATAAAATGGGCCTAGGATGGAGCCTTGGGGTACACCACAGGAGACTGACAGAGATCTATTTTTGTAGTTGTGATTCAAACCATCACAATGTCCGACCGTAAACACCTACAACATGCTTTGGATAGTCCAGAAGTACGCAACGGCCGACCATATCAAATCAGCAGGAAGTTCAGTAAGATTAAAACAGTACTCCCAGCGTCCAGGGACAAGTCATTTGTTTCTCAGAGCAGAGTGATTAGATCCTGCAGTAGGACTCAACAGACAGATAAAAAACCTAAACAAAGGAGATAAGAAGCTATGAATTAGTTTTACGAAGCTCCTGGGTTGTTTTGGAGGATAAAATCTTGCATTTAACTGTTATAGAAACTATAAAATTGCACTTTTTAAAATTCATGTTCCTGGTGTAGCTCACTGTTTTATGAGGAAGCAGATTACAACAACTTCTTCCTGGTTTAATAAAGATTTAAAAATGGAGTCAAAGGTTTTGAGTTGAGAATGTTTTAGCTCTTCAGGTAGAAAGTAAGTCTCATAAGAAGAGGCACACGTGTACATTAGATGCTAGAGACCAGTTTTTAGACTGAAACATGCCTGCTTGTGTTAAGAATCAGCGATTTCTCAGGTCACGATTATCAGACGATCAAATTCATAACGTTAATGAGATGTCGTCAGCGGGTTAACACAGATAACAACCTGTTCCAGCTGCTCCCCTTTCATTAGCAGGTTTACAGGATTAGGGTTCCCTCTGAGATTGCCCGGCAACGGCGGCCATGGAAACGCACCATCACGGCTTCAACTGTCAGGAGATTTCATAACAGGGCTCTCAGCATCTCCTCTCTACAGAAACACACCTGGGTCCGGTTTTCCCAGGACGCCTCCTGTGGGAGCTGTGATCATTTTATGACCCAGGATGAGTGGGGGGGGCAACTAGCAGGACTGCTCCAGAGTCTGGAAACGTCTCTGGTAAATAAATCCAGGAAACAATCCCTCTTTCTCAGAGTAGAGCTAGTCTTTGATTGGAAAAGCAATAAAACAGTTAATCCAAGACTGTAAACAGTTCAATATTACCGGTATAACCAATAAGTGCCCGGCTTACTGAATTCAATATCTTTTTACTTTGGGCTGCCTTTTAAATATCACGTCTTTCCTTCTGTTTTTCTGCTGACTCACTCCACTGATACTCTGCATCATGCCTTCTCCCTCCCCTCGCTCCCTAACTCGCCGTTCAAAGTTCATCCCTGTGGTTAAAATAGCTGCTCGGCGCCTTTTACTGAGCCGAGACGCAGAGGAAACCACTCAGTTTCTCATTAGCACGTCTGTCCAATAAATGATTTTCACATGGTCGGTGTTTTCCTGCTTTCGTCGGTTTGTCGGGAATTGTGACAGAATATTACATCATCCTGTAGTAACAGCTGAGTCATGCCCTCTTCATCGCAGAGCGGCCAGTAAAAACACAAAGGCCTCCGGCACAGAACAGAATATTACACCAACATTGAGGCAAAAAGAGAAATTAAACACGAATCCAAAAGGCACAGATAGGAAGAAGTAGGCTGGAAGTATTTCCATTTGAAGCATCTCAGAGTGACACATTCTGATTTTCTCATGTTTGTTTTTTGGCCCTTTTGTTTGTATCTTCATTGACAGAGACCGTAAAGAAGTGAGGAAATATGAGGGTAGTAAGCAGGGGAATGAAACGCAGCTAACATCCAGCTGGGATTGTACCCGGGGACGTAACCAGAGCTGCTCAGGGCCTCAGTGTGCCTGCAGTACGCCTCCCACCACTCGCTATCAGCTCGATCCAAAATACTGCATGTTTGATGTAAACCTAAATCTGGTGGCAGGAAAAATATGGTTTAAAAAAAACCCCAGTGAAAATAACAGCAAATATCTGTAAACTACTGGCCTGTTTAGTGGATGTAGTTTTAGGTAGCGTGCATTTCTTATCCGGTTTAAATTTACTACTCTTGGTTTACTGCCCTGTTATTCTAACTTTTATGAGAGACCGTATCCTGTCTTATCTTATCTTGCTGTCAGCATCATGTCATTATACATGAAAAAGCCTCATTTCTTGTAAAGAAAACTTCATTGTGAGCGCACACGGAGGGATTTTGGTGGAAAACAGACAACGTGAGGATGACAAAGTTGTTCACTATCAAATCTCTGGTGTCAAGTTTTGCTCAAAAACAAACAACAGATTAAAAATTCTATCGTAGTCTTAAAAATTACGGTTCAAAGGGACAGGACTGTCAGCGGTTTTTCAGGTGCTGGTTCATAAACCAGAGCAATCAAAGAACATTAGATCTGAAGGTGGTGCTCGATGGCAAGTTAGAGGTCGATGACACAGTTTTATGGCAATCCATCTAAACCAGGGGTGTCCGATACTGGTCCTCGAGGGCCACAGTCCTACATGTTTCAGATGTTTCCCTCTTCCAACACACCTGATTCAAATGATCAGTTCATCATCAAGCTCTGCAGAAGCCTGATAACCATCCTGATCATTTGAATCAGGTGTGTTGGAAGAAGGACACATCTAAAACATTCAGGACTGTGGCCCTCGAGGACCAGGATCGGAGACCCTTGATCTAAATGTTCTGTTCAATTCAATTTTCTACTTTATTTAAATCTCGCAGATTCACAACATATATCATCTCACAGGGCTTGACATGGTAAGGTTCACCCCTTATGAATTTTGAACAGAGAACTTGTCCCGAGAACAGAATGTTCTGACATAAATCAGTCCGGACCACAGAGACCAGGAGGCCAGCACTTTAATCTATAGCTGCTGTTTGGTCCATACAACCCCATGACCGCCATACCTCCATGACAAAAAGTCAAACAACAATGTTCACATTTACCTCTTTAATCAGCTCAATCACTGAAGCAAAAACCTGGGAACCGTCCTGAAGTGTTTCTCCTTCCTGCCACTTGGTGGAGCCATAACGCTGCAAAACGACTCCTGGTGATAAGAGAGAGACAAAAGTTCACGTTCAGGCATCAAGGAGTTGTGACAATATTGTAAATTCCTACACATTACAGGCACAATTAGAGTTTATTTATGACTTCAATACTAAAAATTCTGCCATGTTTGTGGAACTCTATCAAAGATACAGAGGTAATATAAGACTGTTCAAAGAGTCACGTGTTTCAGTCATATTTAAAATCCACCTTTGTCCCTGAATAAAAATGGAATGATTCAGCTGTTCCAGGAGCACCGAGGCTTTTGATAGTCTGGCTGTTGCTGCCACAACAAAATTATCTGAGTGACCCAGGAGGAGAGAGAAACAAAGAGTGTAGAAAAAAAATCTGAATTAAACTTGTTTTTTTGTTTTTTTTTTACATTGTTTAGTGGTAAGAGAACCTGCAAAAACCCCAACAACAAAAAAGCTTAAGTTACTGTAATATGTGTCAATACGTGACATCAACAGCCTTCAATCCATCCATCCATCATCTCTACACCTTCATCCTCACAAGGGTCATGGGGGGCTGGAGTCTATCCCAGCTGACTCAGGGTGAAGGCAGGTTCACCTGGACAGGTAACCAGTCTATCACAGGGCTACACTTAGAGACAGACAACCAAGCACACTCACATTCACACCTACGGACAATTTACAATCACCAATTAACCTCAGCATGTTTCTGGACTGTGGGAGGAAGCCGGAGAACCCGGAGAGAACCCACACTGCACGGGGAGAACATGGAGACTCCACGCAGGAAGATCCTGGTGTCCTCACTGGGACATGAACCAGCGACCGTGCTACCAACTGCACCATCTTGCAGCCCTTTTAGGATCAAATTTTTGTTTTTGAGGTGGGAGGAACAGACTGGCTGTGAACACTGGGTAGTTTGGACACACCCTGTGGTTTCAGGCATGGAGGCTGCTCAGGTCGTCCTCCAACGTATTCATCCCCTTCCAGTAAAGAAAAGGCAAAATTCACAACAGTCCCTCAAATAACTAGAAACTGAAAAAAGTAATAAATAAAAATTTGCTAAATTATAATTTAGTGAAATAAGACACTGCGTTAGAAGTGTGATTGAAGAGAATAATTTAAAAAACAAACAAACAAACAAACAAAACTGTCCTGGACCAATTAGAGCACGTTGCTGACGAGCAGTGGGTCAGAACACCTGTCAACAGGTGCAGAAGTCTGACTGAGAGTCACAGAAAACACAAATATTAGTTTACGGGTCCCATCATGCTGGTTTGTTTTTATATTTCTGTTGAACCACAATTCAAAGCAACGTCATGATTTTCATTAAATTTTTATTTATTATTACTTTTATCAACTTCAACTTATTCCAGTGACTGAAGCTGTTTGTTTTAATGGGAGGGAATGAATACGTTTGAGGACTGTAGGTCTTCCTTTATTTCATGTTCATGTTGATTGAATGTTTACCTAAAACAGCCTCTGAGACATTTCTAGTAAAGGAACTTCAGTGAGATCTGCCAGATGTGAAGATGACAAAGTGGTTTCCAAAAAAATCTCTCAAATCCTGTTTCATTTCTCTTGAAAACTGACAGGAGTTCCAGTGGTTCTGCAAGTACTGGACAAATAACATTTTGATCTGACGGTGGTTCAGGGATCAAACATAATCACAGCAATAATGTGGATCCATGCAAACGTTCTGAGATATTTCTGTCTGACTGACATCAGTCCAGAGCGCCACATGACAACCCCCTGACAGCTACACCTCTATGGGGGGAGGTCAAAGAACAAAAGAACTGTTTCTCCTTTCTGCCACTTGGTAGCGCCGTAACACTGCAAAACAACAAAAGCTATGCATTAAAACTAGTCATTCACACTTAATGCATTCATTTAAGGTTTGAAAAACTGAGAACCGACTTCTGGTTCAGGATTGTAATAACATGCAAAGACTCTTGAAGTACAGTGAGAAAGAACACAGAAGCCACTTCATTCATTCGGTCCATCATACAACCTCTCCTATCTCCGTTCCTCATCTTGTGTTCCTTCTCTGTCAGAGACTTTTCAGATCCTTTCAATTAAAGACTTCCTCCTCCTGCAGATCTCCTTGCAGACCCTCGACACACCGTGTGGAGTGATGACTAGCGTGTGCACCCCACACCCCCACCCCCCAAACACAACATACAATATCGTCAGTGAATGATTTGCATTGCAGGTGAAGCAGAGGCAAAACTCCTGCAGAAGTGCCAACAACGCTGACGCACCTGTCCTGGACCGACCCTCCCACCTCCTCTCTGTCACTGGTGAGGGAAAGATCTGTCCTCTGTCCCAGCCCAGACCTCCAAGCCTGAGGGGAAAATGGGCAACATGGCAACAGAGATCGTGGCGTTCCTCCTGACCATCTCCGGGTGGATCCTGGTGTCGTCCACTCTGCCGACAGACTACTGGAAGGTGTCCTCCGTGGATGGGACGGTCATCACCACGGCGACCTTCTGGTCCAATCTGTGGAAAACGTGTGTGACCGATTCCACCGGCGTGTCCAACTGCAAGGACTTTCCATCGATGCTGGCTCTGGATGGTGAGTCCACAGTGAGTGTGTGTTTCTGGGATCAGAGAGCAGAGACAGAAACATATTGATTGAGTGTTTTTGAGGACCCTGTGCTCCTCTGAATATCCGCTTGACTCATGCACCTGTTGTTGTTGGATGAATGACCACCATTGTAAAATAGAAAATGCATTTGGAACTTGATATTTCCTTCTCTGACTCTGGCTTCAGGCCACAAACAACCACCACATTTAAAGGTAAAGGCCACCACAGGCATGTTCTAGTAAAAGAGCTGCGCGACACGAATACGACCTCCTAATGTGTCCGAACGAAGCAATCTGAGAAAGTCACACAGTCAGAGGTCGCTTGTCACTTCCCACTGTGTTTGTCACAGCTGAGACGGCACCATTATTGGTTGTTTTCCTCCTGATCTTTGGTTTTGGGCAGCGCTTTCCATCCTGGGGGTCGAGACCCCAAAAAGATAATCATGAGGCTGATTACAAAACATTTAACCAGCAGGAGATTTGCAGCAAGGTCAGATTTTTATATGTGAATTAGATTTGTGGTAAATATGTGGTGGACTTTCTTATTTTTGTGAAATGCTGCTGATTTTTAATTCAGTTTTTTGCTACAGGTTTGCTAGAATGTTCACTCTTTGTCCAGAGTCATAGAGAGAAACAAGCATTTATGCTCACATTCACTATTTAGCATCACCATTTAACCATGCATGTCTCTGGACTGGTGAATGGTTGTCTGTCTCCAAGTGTAGCCCTGTGATAGACTGGTTACCTGTCCAGGTGAACCTGCCTTCACCCTGAGTCAGCTGGGATAGACTCCAGCCCCCCATGACCCTGGTGAGGGCTAAGGTACATAGATAATGGATGGATGTCTCTGGACTGCCATACAGAGCACCCAGAGGAAACCCAGCAGGCTCAGGGAGATGTTTTTTGTTCCTTCCCACTGTTACCAAGTGATTGCTCAAAGGGGAAGTCACAGAAAGCTCAGGTTCTGTTGGGTTTCTCTGTTTAAAAGGGGTGGCCGGATAGCTCCACAGGTTGGGCAGGCGACCCAAATACAGCAGCTGTGGTTCTAGCCAGTGGTTCATTAGCTGCACGTGTCTCTGTCACTGTTTTATACATTAAAGGCAGAAAAGGCAAAAAAAAAAAATATCTTAAAAAAAAAAAAGGCTCTTCACCTTCTGTGAGGTGACACATGTTGTGAATGGCACCATGTAAACACAACTAAATCAGCTCAATTAATTTGAATACAGACTTCTTGTCGTGAGGCGACAGTAGATCACGATGTAGGGCAAAAATAAACCAGCTGACACGTTTAATACTAATGGCAAACTTACAATCAGGAGAAATTTAGTACCACTGGGCAAACTGTGGTGACAAACCACCAGTAGTGACAACCTTATCATTACTGGGCACCCAGAGAGCTCAACAGGATGAGCAGGTGACCCTGTATAGGGGCATGTTCCCTGATGCTGCGGTTCGATTCCAGCCAGTGGTTCATTTACTGCATGTCCTTTCCACACTCTTTCACTGTCCTATCCAATAAAGGCAGAAAAGCAAAAAAAAAAAAAGCCTTTTAAAAAAAAAACAACTTCTCATTACTGCCAGAATGTTGCTGGAATTTTCCAACTAGAGGCCAATATTGGAAAACTTGTGACAACATTTTTATCTTAAACTGATGTTGCTGCTGCAAAATTAGTCACAAGTTAGCCACGAATCTGCCGCCAACACTATGATTCTGTGACCTCTAAACATCCTAACTTAAAGGTTCCACATCATACCCTCTTTTAACAAGTTATTGGAGGTCTAACATGGCCCCAGAATGTGTATAAAATTTAGCTCAATCCTGCACAGACTGTCAACTCTACCATAACTGCCCCTGGCTTTATCCCTGTATTCTAAATGGACAGCTTCAGCGTCTGCACCTTGAAGTCTAACTGAGGTGCTGCTTCCTCCACCTCTTTTAGGAAGACGACTGCAGGCACAGCTCTCTCTGTTGATTCTGCTCATTGAGGGTCAAATGGGGTTCGTTCTTGTCTTCTTGCGACATCAGACCTGAAACACATTTTCTGATTTTTGGACACAGAAGAGAAACAAGGAGGATCATTTCTCATATTTCATAGAACCGCAGACACAAAGGGAAAAAAGAAATTATGTTAAAAAAACAACCAAAAGACGTATTTCAATAACACGGAGCCTTTAAATGCCTTTCAGTTTAAATCTGCAGTACCCCTTTGTGCCATGTGGGGGCAGCAGGAATGAGCCATAAACACCTTTAAAGTTGATGCACGAACTTCTTTGCAAATGTTTGCTTGTCATCAGACAGCGTTACCTCAACATTACCAGAACATTGCAAGGAAAATAATCTTCCTTCATCAACAGCCTCTTGAAAACATGTATTGAACGTTGATTTGAGAACGTTCTGCTTTCGTTATCTTGGATTTATCTTCAGAATGCTGCAGATAAAAACGTCTGACCTTATAGGAACATATTTAGAGTTCTAAATATTCTTAAAACGGTCTTTCGATTAAAACATGAGAACATTATGTGAATTTGTAGGTGATGTCAGACAGCGCTGTGGGAGGATTCCTGCTGAGTCGCCCCTATGAGCGTAAAAAACACGATGCAGCATGTTCTCAATGTGACACTGTTCCTTTAAAATAGCCAAAGATGGGATTCTCTTAGACTCTTCAGGCTTCTAACAGTCAAAAGAGAAAACAGCTGATTTAAAGCCTAAGACGTCTCCTCTGTCCCGTCCCTCAGCCTACATCCAGGTGTGTCGGGGGCTGATGATTGCTGCTGTGTGTCTGGGTTTCTTCGGTGCTTCTCTGGCCTTGGTGGGAATGAAGTGCACAAAAATAGGAGGCTCAGAGACCACCAAGGCCCGTCTGACCGTGCTGTCGGGATTCCACTTCATCCTCAGCGGTAAAGCCGTGAACCTCTCTCTATGTATGGGAATGCATTTGAGCTACATTTTAGGACTCACTTTGGAATAAATTCCTTTTGACCTGAGATCAGTTCAGTCCACCATGATCTGAAGTCTTTGTTCTGGTCCACAGGCCTCTGCTGCATGACTGCATGCTCCATATACGCCCACAGGATCACAACTGACTTCTTTGACCCCCTCTTTGTTGCACAGAAGTGAGTATTTTAGGATTGAAAGGAGCATTTGTTTGACAGCAGATCAAACGCAGATTCAGATGAAAGGAAGTCCGGTCAGACATGTTTCTTCTCTGCAGGTTTGAGCTCGGAGCAGCGCTCTTCATCGGCTGGGCTGGATCCGTGCTCTGCATCTTAGGAGGCCTGGTCTTCTGCCTCTCCCTGTCCGAAGGCTTCAGCATCAGGCAGGTTGCTCGGTCTTACCCAGAAGCATGTGACCCCACGTCAGTCATCGGCAACAGCAGGGGCTTAGTGGGAATCTGATTTGGACTCTAAACTGCTGCACTGAGTTGCTAACTCAATCAGGCAATTTAAATAATTACTTTAACTGCCAGTGAGAGACGAAAACAGTCCAAAACATGCAATAATCTCTCTCAACATCTTGTCTCGTAATTGCTGAACCTCGCAGGTAAATTGTCTGATAGTTATTCTGATTAGTCCGAGTGACTGAATGTTTTCTTTGTTGCGGGTGAAAGTCACCTTGACTGAGGGCAGATGTAGGAAAGCATCGGGTGGGCAAAGAGAGGCCGACGTCCTGGGTCTTCGTTTAGTCAACTATGAGCCCAGCTTACACTGCAAGTACAGTGAGAGTAAAGGAGGGAAGATAGATGGAAACATACGGCAGGATTCGCTCTGACACCGAGTTCTGATGGATGATCACGTTGTCATGGCAGCCATATTGAAATGTGGATCAACACGTGTTTATAGCGGCCAGCTGTGTGGCTTCGAGGACGGCAGCATACTTTGGTCAGTTTGCCAATTACTGGAGTAACTTCTATAAACTTTTATACCCACATTCATGCTTCCTACAGGATGGATCCCACTGACTTTGCTGGTCCTCGTGTACAATCATGGGGTTGACGTTTGTGGTTTTGAGCAAAATATCTTCACAACTATTCAACAAATAACTCAGGCTTCATTTACTTGAGCATAACAGATACATTTTTGTTTATCAAATGGGCAGAAATAACTCAGATTTATGTCAAATAAAGTAATATGATCTCGCTATCTTCACTGTACATGGACTAATCATGCGTAATTTGGTCACTCCGAAAAAGCCCATTTTAAGCCAATAAAAACTGCATGTTCATTTGTCCAATACTTTGGTTTATTTACATGTCTAGAGACACGTCCATTAGCCACAGCTACACGTGTTTAGTGCTGCTAGCATCATGCTAACACTTAGGATAAGGAATGTTTTACATGGGTTAGAGTCTTTTTCTTGCTAAGGAAGAGCTTCTTTTAACACTAGTCAAAGGTGCTTCGTGCTTCCTGTCTAATCTCTTTTAGCGTAGGGTACACTGGTCCATCTGTTGTCAAAGGAACAAGGATAATGCAGTCCCACAATTCATTGCTGCAGCAATAATCGAAGCGATGCAGCATCCACATCAAACCCACGTCAACAACATCTATTGTCCTACGATTAAGAGCAGCTGAATTCTCTTTGCATTGCAGTTATCTTTTCCTGTGTCCTTCTTAATTCACATTTTTCTTTTCCACCAAAGGTTAGAAAAAGACTGGGACGTATGTTTTGACTATTGGAGGGTCGACAGAAGAATTAAGCAGGATTTGGAACCACAGATTTGACCATAAACCACTTTGACATCGTCTATTTCACTGCCAAGCCAAATGGTGCTTGACTTAAACAGCTTAAAGTTTTTTTGTTTTTCACGGCTCCACTTCTTGTCCCGACTCTTTCAGAACTGCGTACTCGTACAGCGGAGCCGCGTCGTTCGTGACGACACGCAACAAGCACAGCAAGCCGACCAACCACCCGCACAAGGAGGCGCGAGAGCCGTCGAGGCAGTTTGGAAGAAACGCCTACGTGTGAAACTGGACTCCTCTCACCAGAGTTAGTCACGATAGTCTGTGATCATCAGAAACTATTTCATCCATAAAAGCCAAGAACAGCGTTAATGTACTTCCCCTGGCTGGAGAAAACCCATTTGTGTGACAGTTTACATTTTGTTTTGATTGTAAGTGGCTAAATCCCTCTTTAAACGTGGCTGCTTGTTTTGTTTTTTGCTCCTTTCTGTCAATAACAATAATAAATAAATAAAAGATAAGCTTGTTGCTCTTTTAGGGCAGGAAATTTGATTTGGCACAAAACAAACTCTGCGGTCACCTTCACCGGGCGGCCTGCAGACACACAATTCATCTCTGTTTCATAACTCTGGAGTCAAAGGACAACTTGATATTTAAAGATATTATAAAGCATTTTTCTAGCATGTGTCCATTAAAACTAGAGGACGTCACACAGACTGTTAGAACTCCTGTTAGACGAATAAGATGGTTTATTTGTTCACTGATTGCAAACATGCACTTTTGTACTTTCCTCTTTTAAGGTAGCATCATTTAACAGTTTCTGGTGAGTTTTTATTATGAAGCTGTTCAAATGAACTTTTAATGGGTTACTAAAGATGTAAGTCTTTGCAGTGGGTAGCTGTGATGTAAGTCCAGCAAAGTTGTGTTGGTTAATATTCCTCCAACAGACTGAAAGGATCATTTCTGGTTCCTGGTCTAGACTGCTCTGACCTCCAAGGGTCACGAGGTCACGTCTGACCCCAGAGATGGTTATGCAGATCTGCAGGCCCGACCGGAGGTTTCCCCTCCTATCAGCCATCCATCTCCACCTAGGAATTATTATCAATAGGAACCCCAGGCTATGTTACGCAAAACCTCTTGGCCCAGAGGTTGGATACTTGAACCAGCTGGCAGGGAGCAGGCGCTCTGTGCTCTCCGCTGCCTTGCATCCGTAAACAAGTGTCGGGTGTCCTGGGCTCTGCAAAATGGTGGCGTTGTGTTCTCTGATGTCTGCAATACATAAAGTGATGCTTCAAGCTTTCATGTTTGCTTTTTATGAGGTTTTGCAGCTTTAAATAAGATTATTTACAATTCTACTTTGATTATAATATACATACGATGACGACATTGTTGCTATGACACGACACAATGACATTTTGTTAACAGCACACTATATAGTACAGTATAGAGTGTCCATATATAGACACAGTATAGCACAGGGGTGTCCAATCCTGGTCCTCGAGAGTCCCTATCCAGCATGTTTTAGATGTTTCCCTCTTCCAACACACCTGATTCAAATGGCTATGGTTATCAGGCTTCTGCAGAGCTTGATGATGAGCTGATCATTTGAATCAGGTGTTACTTAAGTTTATTTTTTTAGTTTCTTACTTACTTAACTTACTTTGTTACTTACTTCATTAACTTATTTAGTTTCTTTCTTCCGTTTCTTATTTAGTTACTTAGTTTCTTACTTATTTTATTTCTCTTTTACTTACGAAAGAAGGACACTAAGATAGAGGACAGATTGAAATGACAAGGCGGTGGCCGGGACCGAACCACCAACCTTGTCCCCCCCCAGCATTTCTGGGTAACGTACGCAGGTGGTTATGCAGCAGCACACAGTGACGGGCTGAAGTTGTAAAGCAGGATGCTGACTGTTATAGTACGCTATTGTCGGAGAATGGCGCGGTTGCATGTCGTCGAAAAAACCTAGTAGGTCATCAAAAAAACTATGTCACCGCAACCAGCCGTAGCATACTATGTTGTACAAATAAAGTCTTAGTTTAGTTTAGTACGGCGTGTCATACTATAGCATGTCTTTAAAAAACATCATGTTGTCAAAGAAAAACTCATAGTTCAGCATTTGGTCGAGAAAACATCCAAGTATGGTGGAGTCAGGTCACTCATCTGGATCGCTTTAAACACCCATTTATTTTTGAATTGTGTCATGATTCACCTGCATCCTTTTTGTTTGAAGGCCAATCTCTCCCACACAGCTGAACAATTCTCCAGTGATCCTGCCGTGATTCTTCAGCGTTGCTTTGCTCCACATGGAGCAGCGGAGCCAGTGGGATTTATCCAGTGGGGACCAGGAACATCTGCACTCTGAACTCAAAAGGAATAAAAAAAGAAGAACATGAGTGTTAAGGTCTTGCAAGAAGACAACACAGGTTGGGTTGACTGGTCTGTCTGATGACCCCAGTGGGAAGGACGAGGACACAGAGCCACCCCCGTCCTCCTCTGGACCAGAGGTTCTCAAACTTGTTGAGCCACGGCCCCCAAGATAACATAAACCCCCCAATTTGAATTTTAATGTACCGTAAGTCATTTGTTTGATAAATGTAAGCTTTATCAATTTTTTTTTTTTTTTTTTACAATGATCTGGCGACCCCCTGAAATGATCTGGCGACCCCCAGTTTGAGAACCACTGCTCTAGACAAGAGCATTAACGCACCTTTAACAGCTGGTACATCAACGCGTGTCCTTTGTGTTCAACTTCTGTCAGATCTGTTATTTGCTGTTGCGTACCATCGTTCACGTTTAGTGTCGAGCTAATTAAAATGAGTTCAGGCCACCCGTACCAGATGAGTTAAGGCTGCCCAGCGGTCCACTTACATCTCCCTTCCACCACCAATAACTTTGCCATAAGCCGGGAGGACTTAGGAACAAAGAGGAGCTCTTTCAACCCCGCCGGAGGAGCATTCATCACTCCCAGGAACTCTCATTACCTCAGATTTAGCTCTAATTAGAACGGCACAAAGACGTCGCACTGTGATTATGAGAGCCGCAGCACAGCGAGCTCCTGGTAATAACCAGCAGCTTACGGCCCGAGGCAAAGTCGAGAACGACGCTTCCAGCAGCTCAGGTCAGCGCTCTGACATTTTTTATGTAAAGGTCAACAAAGCAGAGATATGAAGAGTTTCTGGTCAAATCTGTGAACGGCAATTAGAAAATTAGAGAAACAGATGTAATATTTATACGTGAACTGAGACGCATATTAGTTCATTTTATCAGTTTAAAGGAGCAAAACTGTTGTGTAATGTCTCATAACTCTTTAAATAGACTGAATCATATCAAACACAATAAAATAAAAACATGTTTTAAAGGTTTGACTCCCGTCACTCTTTGCTCACGTCTCTCCACACATCTACCTGTAGAATTACATAAATGATCAAATGTGACTCAGGACATTTAACTTCCCTCCATCGTGCCAAATTATCGATCTATTGCCCAGTATGCTGCAGCAGCTGACAGATCAATATTCTAGCAGGAGACATGTGTCTGGATGTCATCTGGCATTAATTTTGTTTTTAAAGATCTCCCTTCAAGGAGTGGATGGGGGTCAGTCGGGAGTCCGTGGGACTGGGGTCCGTTTATCCCCGACACCCATGAGTTTAGGGACAGGGTAGTAAAGGGTGGAAATGTAGTGTTTCTGGAGCTTGAATTAAAAATTAGGGGATAAAACTCAGGATGTCAAGGCCCTGCTGTAGAAAAATCACCGGAATACCCCTTTAATTATATATTTATTTATTTATATGCCTTAATTGTGTAAGCTTTAATACATTTGTCAGTTCCTGTACGGTGGACTTACGAGGGATTATTGGCATCATTGTTTGATAAGAGCAAAAACAAAAGACTAAAAAAAGAAAACTACTAAACTGACTCCTCTCATTTTAACCTGTGAGTGAAAACAGAGAAAGATCTAATCGGGGCACAAAGGGTTCAGTAACCTGAGATACCTGCTGAGGTGAGCACTCTCAGTCTGGATTCACACCATGGGAACCTGAGCAGCCGTCATCTCTCACCTGGAGGCCAGCACCACACCTCGGCTCTGTACCTGCCGTCCACTCGTCCGCTCCACCTCCACATCTGTTCGGTTTGGGCTCAGGATCAACACGTGAGTGAGGGGCTGACGGAGCAACAAAGAAACTTGGATTCAAGCATACAAATAGAAACTAAGAGCTACTGGGTCGGAGGTCTGATTGGGAAGCTCTGAGATGAAGATCCGAGTGGTCCAGATCTGGGGCTTCCTCATGACGGTGCTGGGCTGGATCTTCGTGGCCTGCACCATGGCCATGGAGGGCTGGAAGATCACCTCCATCGGGGGCATGGGGGGCTCGTCCATCATCAAGGTGGCCTGGTACTGGTCCAGCCTGTGGAGGTCCTGCTTCACCGACTCCACCGCGGTCACCAACTGCTACGATTACCCCGTGCTCTGGTCTGTGGAGGGTAGGTTGACTCGTTTTGCATCGTGTTTTGTCGTTTAAGCTCTCGAGCAACATGGTTTCTGAACACCGCTCTGCGTGGCTTCAGGTCACATCCAGATCGTCCGAGGCCTGCTGATGGCCTCTCTGTCGCTGGGCATGCTGGGGTTCGTCCTCAGCCTGATGGGCATGGAGTGCACCTTCCTCGGGGGAAAAGACCGCTCCAAGTACAAGAAGATCTACGTCGGCGGATGGTGCCACGTCATCAGCGGTACACGTCTGGATTTAATGACAAGACAGCTGTCACATGCAACACACAAATCAGACAGCATAGAATTAATTATAAATTCATACTTTTATGACCTGAGATCACCCAGTCAGGCATTCTAACAACTTCATGCAATTTTAATTTCATTATTTTATGATATGACAAACGTTTGGTTGGATAAAAGCATCGTTTTGCCCTTTAATTGGTTTGTTTCAGCTAAAATTTGTTCTATTAAACGAGCATTATAATGAACCTGTGCTTTCTGAAATCGACAGAATTCTTTACATACAATTAGCACATTTAACGATATTGTATATTAGAGATAACTAAAACTGACGAGCTAATTGTTTGGATCAACAACTGAAACTTGACTCTAACATCATAAGAAGGATCAGTGTGAACCAGCTTTTCTGGTTTAGGAGCTCTTTAAGCTAAACATGGCCTCTGGTTGTGTTGATGTCGACCAAAGAGCTGTTTTGTTCTTTTTATTTAAATAACTTTGACAGGTTATTTGTCCAGGTGAATATCTGGGGAGTTAAAATTAATGCACAGAAAAATCTTAGTGACTGATTTCTTTTTCTTTTTAAAAATAATGTTGTGAACAGTCTCTCCTGTCAGTATGTTGTTTTTTATGAGTTGTATTAAGATGTTTTATTTAAGACGTGCCATATGTTGTGTTAAAGCTTTTACTAACGACACTTTAATGTCTGTATGTGCATTAATATCATTTAAATACCATTTTCTGACTTCCTTAAACTGGTCTAACAATCTATAAAACATACCTAACGTCTGTATAATGTGTTAGATTGTTAATATGAAGTAAAATATACTGTTTACCTGATTTATTTGACATGACCGCGTCCTAGCTGTAGTCCAACACTACTGGATATAATCTATAATCTAAAAACGTGATTTTTTTTTTATTCTCTGTATCTCATCGTGATTTGCCCTCAGGTTTGCTGGCCTGCTCTGGGTACGCCGTTTACGCACAGTACGTCTCCGTAGAATACTTCAACCCGGACTTTGATGGACTTCAGTGAGTTAACTTCAGGCTTTCATGTAACAGAAGTCTTTAAACATTAAGCTGACAGTCTCTGTGGTGTGACAGGTACGACCTGGGCACCCCGATCTTCCTCGGCTGGGTGGGCGCCTGCTTTCACGCGACCGGCGGCTTCTTCTACCTGTGGTCGGTGTGCGTGCCGCTCTGTGGAGGACAGGCCACGTGAGTGCACACACATGTTGCTGCTGCTGCCATATGTCAGAGGAAGTGAATAAATAACTCCACTTTCCCCATAAACACCGGCATCCTGCTGCTCCAGTGGAGTGACTCATTACCCACAGTGCACAGGGCTCTGTTAGAGGTGGGAGTGTGCAGATGTCCGCTGTGGGAACAATCCATCTCACAGCGCAGCATAACCTCCAGCTATGGCTGTAAATAAAGGGAGGTCTGGTGTTTTACAAGCTGGTTAAATGAGGAGAGGAAAGATGTCAGGATGGAGCACTTTGAACACTAGAAGGCGCTTGAAGAACACATCAGAACATCACTGACGCTCCTTTAATCTGAAGAATCTCTGCTCAGAGGGGAGAAATGTCACCTCACACCCCTCATGAGGGTCCCGACCCACAGTCTGAGAACCACTGGTTTAGTTAACGGGATAAGATAGATTCTAAAGTTTAAAGGCGTCGTGTTCAGGGTTCTGTTAGAACGTGTTCTGGACTAAATGCTAACAGCTTTGCCAACATGAAATATGTTATCGAAAACTGGAGTCCTGGGACCTTGTCAGATCTAACAATGTCCATCGTGTCTCTCTTTGTTTAGGATAATCAACGTCCAAGCTCTGCCAGACCCGGAGCAGACCAAGTCCACCACAGCTCTGTCATCAGTGTCCAAGATCACCTCCAAGACCAAACTGTCCTCCGTTTCCGAGCTGTCGTCCAGGTCTGAGCGCTCAGACGTGTCCACCATCTCCTCCAGATCAGGACGCACATCCAAATCTGGCCGCACGGCCAAGTCAGGAAGGTCGTCCAAGACGGGGCGAAGCACGAGGTCTGGGGGGTCAGCGGGGTCAGGATCAAGATCGGGATCGGGATCTGGGTCGGTGTCGGAGATCTCGTCAAGATCCAGCCTGTCGACTCTGTCTGGGTCGAGGAGCAGCAGCAGCAGCCGGACGGTGTCGTCGCTGTCGGGCAGCTCGGCGAGTGAGACGACGCCGTTCATCAAAAACTCTTTTATCTGAACCACGTGAGACATCAGCTGATGGACTCATAAGAACGGGTGTGATGAACGTTCTGTTTAACTTTTATATACGTGGTGGAAGCACATCCAGGAGAATGTTCTGTGATAATTAAACTGATAAATCTGTGGTTATGAGAATATTTTGTGTAAAGTTTCTGCTGCCCACATTCAACCATCACGTCTTCTGACAGAGCTGTCGCCTTTTGTAAGCTTTCAGACAACAAATAAAACTCTGCCGGGCCGATCAGGTCTGGTTGACAGTAAACACTCTGCTCTGCTGTTATTCAACCCTCCACCCAAACACACAAGAAGCAGCAGCAGGAGGAGGAACAGGGGACGACCTCCTCCGTCAGATCCAGACCACATCTAGAAACATACGATTGTGTTTAGATGTGAATGAACCAGGATCATATTTTATTCATAACTGCAGTTTGAGGCACATTTAAAACAAAGGTTCTACTGACCAGACCGAAAGGATGTGGAGGAGAGCGGCTCAGGTTCTGGGCCTGCTCTTCTGCGTCGTGGGCCTGGGCCTGGTGGGCTGCACTCTTGCTATGGACCACTGGAGGTAAGCAAAGGAAGCAAACAGAGGAACTTATTTAAGTTCTATCCAATGTAAAACTGATGTAAATAAAGGAAAAAATAAAATGAAAGGACATGAATGCAGTTAAAGTACGTTTTATTATGTGGCGGTGGGTTGGACTGACTTTAGGGAAGAATAAATTCCTCGTCTTTAGTAATTAACTAATTTCTAAGAGGGAATCAGCAATTTAAAATGTTTAAAATGAAAATTCATACCACTTTCATGCATGGACATGTAGTTAGTAGTAAGTTTAGATCTATTAAAGGATGTGGGCTTTCAGATATGGGGATAATTTAGCAAAAGTAGCTACAAAGATTTAGTTTGGAAATTAAAGGATCGAGCATTTCTGAAATGTGATCTATAAGTATTACAGGTATTTCCACCTCTGCTGCTTAATTTTTCAGCAGTTTCCTTTAAATCTGTCTCTAGTGAGTCCTCCAACTTCAAGATCAAAACTGCAGAGGGGTCCTTTAATATGATCACGTCCTTAATCAGCTGATCAGATGCACAATGTGTTAAGCTCAGTGACTGAATTCCTCTTATATTCTGGTTGTTCTTACTGGAGGGTGGCCCAGCTGGGGGGCGAGGGGGGGTCCTCTGTGGTGGTGGTGGCCTGGTTCTGGTCGGACCTCTGGAAGGACTGCTATGAAGACTCCACCTCTCTGGTCAACTGTGTGGACTTTGGGGTGCTGTGGACGGTCAGATGTAGGCTCACTGATCAATAGCCACTATAGAGCAGAGAGATGATCGGTTTGTGAACTAAATGTGTGTTTTCGTGTTTCCAGCGTACATCCAGGCAGTCAGGGGCCTCCTGCTGACGGGCCTCTGCCTCGGCTTCATCGCCACGGTGCTCACATTGTTTGGAATGGAGTGCACACGTGTCGGTGGAGACCAGAGGAGTAAGGACCGGATGTTGGCGGCAGCGTCTGCTTTGCATGTGTTCGGCTGTGAGTACGGTTTGTCTGAACGCCTCAGGTGTTGTGGGAGCAGCTCCTCATCCCGCCCCCTCACCGGTTCGTCTCCTTTTCCTTTTTCCCATGTGTCATCGGCGCCCTCATGCAGGCGGGTCAGACGTGGCCGGGTACTGTTTGTACATAAACACAGTGGCTGCAGCTTTTCTACACGGCAAAGCAGATCCGTCCAAACTGAGGTAACGCGAGGCCTTTAAACAGCCCCCATAAAAAGCAAATGAAAGACAACAGAGGTTCATAACTGCTGTCTCCTCAGCTATGAGATCGGCCCTCCCCTCTACCTCGGCCTGGGGGGCAGTTTTATCATCCTGCTGGGCTGCACAGTTCAATATGTGACCGCATGCAGAGTGAAGCAGCCAAAAAGGTTTGTTTTGCACTGAATAAACTGTTCTGTGAGCTTCCAGATGTGAATGTAGAGTCGACTGACTGTTTAATGTCGTTGCAGCAGACACGCCGTTGTTGCTTCCATCAGAGAGAAAGAAGAAGGTTCGATCCGAAGGCAGAAACACAGACGTGGGCCGTCACAAAGGTCGAGCATGTCTCCGTACAAGATGGCTTCTGCTGTGATCGTGTAACGCAGATTAAACCTCGACTCTCTAAGATGTAACAGGCAGGGGTTCTGGAATACTGAGGACACAAGTCTAAAATTAGATTCTTTTCACAATCATTTCTTTCTTTCTTTTTTTAAACAGTCACATTTAAAGATGCTCTATTCCTGTGACAGCAACTTTTCACACTCATTAGTATTAATGTAAGTCTGGTGCAATGTAACAGCCAATCAAATCATTCCTAGAAATAAACAATAATAAAAAGATGGCCTCTAACATCTGTCTTTATTTTTCTATCAACTGTTTTTGTTGTTATTCTGGAAAAATCTCAATATTTCATTCTGATGTTCTGGAGACCTTAAACCATCTTTAAGAAGAAACTCAAACAAACTGAACCTTCATGGATTGTTTTATTAATTTTACGAGTGCGTACAAACTGAATTTTGTGTAGTAAACAACACGTTCCTTCTCTTTGGGGTCACGGCATTTACAAAAAAATAGTTTGAATATTGCTGATTTTTCACTGTGGTTAATAGAAACCTACCACAGTTAGTTCTGGGGAGTTTAACGTCCCTTTTATTTAACTACTGTGGTTATTTCATCAACACATTTTACATCATAGTTGAGACACTTAAAGTTATGTAGAAGCTATTTTTTTCAGCTAAAATGTCAGAGGTTTGGTTAAAACACACATTTTTTTCTCATGTTTTTTAGGCTTAAGTTCTGGGAAAATGTGATGAACAGTTAGACATTTATAGACAAACTAAACAATCATTTCATTAATCAAAAGTAATCTTTACTGCAGCATGACCTGCATGTATTTCTGCCTGTGTAGCTTATAGCAGTGTTCACGTTTAAATAGTTTTAATTTAAATATTAGGCTTTAATGAGCTCAAAAGGGAAGAAATCCTTTTCCAAATAACTACTAATGTGTTTACACTTGTGTGGGAAGTAAAACGACCCGACTGTCAGGTTGATCCAGGGTGACGTAACCCCCGTGTTGGGAACATGCAGATGCTGACCAGACAGAAGCATCTGACTGATAAGACGGGAGACAAACCAAACATCCACTCCGACACCTTCACATCAGCAATGACTCAGAGACCAGCTCTGTTTCCCACACCGACCACCTGCTAGCTTTTATTTCTAATTTCTCTCTGCCACTGTTGAGGAGCAGCACTCACCATGAAGCACAGGACGGTGGTGATGTACATGGAGATCGGCTGCTTCGTGTCCTGCCTGTGCGGCTGGATCCTGGTGTGCTCCACTCTCCCCACGGAGTACTGGACCTTCTCCGAGGTGGGAAGCATCGTGCTGACCACCTCCAACTACTACTCCAACCTGTGGAAGGACTGCATCTCTGACACCACGGGGGTGTCCGACTGCAAGGACTACCCCTCCTTGCTGGCCCTGCCGGGTAGGATCCTCTGAGAGCTACAGTTCCTCTATTTTCTCTTTTAAAAATTCACTGCTGTGCTGGGATGCTGATCAGATTTAGGGGCCGTAAACAAATAATTGCGATGGGAAGCAGTGTGTAAAAAGAACTGTATAAAAACCAACATCCTCCCAAGAGTTCTTCCCAAACTTGGAAAAAAAAAACTACATAGTGGTGATATATTCCAGCCACAGTGTTTTTAGCTAGCGACAGAATGTGTGAAGCAGAACAAGCAGCAGTTGTGTCACTAATTTACTCACTCATCTGTAGATTTTTTACATTAATAGGTCATTATTCAGCTAAATTCGTATCATATATAATATTATAGGGTCTTAACTTTAATATTTAAGTCAGAAAAATCAGAATAATGAATATTTGTAGAGTCTGATGATGGAAACGTCTCTGACACAAGCAGCCGTGTGACTCGATACTAAAATGTGTATAGTGTATAGAGATAATAGAAAATAATCATACTAATTATTTAAATCTGTCAGGTAAATGTACGTCTACAACAAATAATGGATTTCAACATTAATATTTAAGTTAATTGGGTATGTTTGAAGAATTCTTATTGGACTGTCTTGACCTTATTTATTTGATTAGTCTTGTAAACTGACATTAGACAGAATATTCTACAGTCTTAACCTTAACATTTAGATTAGTCGGGTCATTTTAACCTATAAGGTGAATCTGTAAAGTTAATCTTATTTCTCTGCTGACACTTTGGGTTAACATCTAAATGTAAATGTGCCACAAACAACACTAAATATCCACCACCAATAACGGCTTGACAACAAACATGTGATCTAAACCCCTGCGCTTTATCTCACCACTATAATTTCCACACAGTCCCTCTTGTGCGTTTAGTGTTTGCTGTATTCCAGCTGCACCTGTTTCCTTGCAGTGTTCCTGCACGCCTGCAGAGCGCTGGCCGTCTGCGCCGTCATCACCGGCTTCTTCGGAGGCGTCCTGACGCTCATCGGGATGAAGTGCACCAAAATAGGCGGCTCGGAGATCGCCAACGCCAGGGTGACGTTTGCTGGCGGCATAACCTACCTGGTGTCAGGTAAAAACAGTTTGTCATGCAGTTAAATCAGATGGTAAACATGCAGCAGGTGCTTACAGTGTGGGCTCTTCTCTGCTAGGATTCTGTGGCATGATCACCTACTCGTGGTGGGCCAACAGAGTCATCACCGAGTTCGTGGATCCAAATTTCAGGGCACAGAAGTAAGTGTTTGTTTTTTTTTTTTAATGAGGCATAAAAAGTGCAGGATGACAGATGTACCTCCACCTGTGCTGCTCAGATTTGAACTGGGAGCTGCTGTTTTCATTGGCTGGGGAGGCTCCCTGCTGCTCATCTCAGGAGGGACGGTGCTGAGCTCCTTCGCTGGAAAAGAAGGTCTCCCATCAAGGTGAGCAGAAAGCCTCCTCTTAAAACACCGTACAGTCGAACTGCTGGAGTAGTACAGGAAGTTCACTGTGTATTTTCAACCCCACCAGTTCCCCAGACAGGCCACGCAGGCCGGTCTCCTACGCCACCGCCCGAACCAAACGGACCTACATGATGCCGGCCTCGGCCTCCAGAGTCACTCTGGTGCCGCCTCTGTTCTACGAAGGCAGGAGGAGCCGAGCAACCAGAGCGACGACGAGAACCGGAAGAACCGGAAGAACCTTCAGCAGGGACAGCTTCGTCTGAGCTGGAGGGAACTCAGAGTTTGACATTTTAGGGAACACGTGAATTCTTGCTGAAAAGGAAATGAGAAGATGGGCACCACTCTCATGTCAATATGGATCTGAGTAACTTAGCTTAGCATAAACACTGGAAGCTAAATTGGCTGTCAGGTGGCTTTTGTTTGGTAGCCGTTTTCCCCTTGTTTCTAGTCCTAATGCTAAGCTAACTAGCTAGCTCTTAATGTTGAGTTGATGGTGAGTTATGAGAGTTGTACCCTCTTTTTAACTTGCTGCAAGAAAGCAAATAAGTGAACTTCTGGAAACTCTCTTTTGTGAATTCTGTTCAAGATTTGGCTCCTAAATGCAAAACAAGATTTGTGTTGTTTGAATTTTGTGAGATTTTGTATTTACACAGTTTTTTGTCTTATCAGGAAGCATCCACTGACTATTGACTCTTTGCTTCTTGTCTGTATGTTTTGTTCTTTGGAAGCAGTGAGGTTTAGTATAAAGTGAACACATGAACTCTATTAGAATAAGTGAACACTTAATACTTGTTTACAGATGTGTTGGGTAACATGAGGCTCATTAGACGTTTCCAGGTATCTTCATCAGGGTGTTGTTATAACTTTCAACAATATAAACTGGATTAACATTAATTCAAAACAAAATATTCAAAGTAATATATAATATATTCTGTACTGCATCTTTTAACATGTATGATTAATTAGTTTGTACTTCTGTAAAATGATTTTGATGATTTCTTGTGTATTCAGTTAAAAAAAAAAGTAAACTGGTTCAGTTTTCCAAGGAACTTTTTGTGTTTTTCTTCTGTGGCTTCAACACATTGTCCTGTATTTCCTCTGAGGTACCACAAGATGTCACTGAAAACCCAAACTATCAAATAAAATATAAGAGATCGTATACGTCGGAGCTCTGGTGGCACCACCCTGATGAAGGGAACAGTGGAAAATGTGTGAATAAAAATGATGCATCGGTTAATAATAAGACATTGGGTCACAGCTTTCATTATGTGTCCCTCATGATACGCTTTAGATTCTCAGTCCAGTTACGACACACTGCCAGCTTAGGGGAACGCTCTGCAGATGCATTTACTGCTCGTTACCATGTTAAAGGCGATCCAGCTGCTCTGCCGGCTGCGATGCTGAGGCTGTGGCTGGTTGGTGCTGCTGCGGTTCAGTCTGTGGTGCTATAAATACGTCCAGCTGATACCGTTTAAACCTGCAGTGATTCTATGGCAGTTGTGCTTTTTGTTCACTAAACTGGCAGAGTGTTGTACCTGGACTGGACCAACACTCTGTTTGGATCAGAAGGAATGTAGAGCGAGACAGATGCTGAGTCCGGCATCTGTATCCAAACATGCTAACGAGTTAAATCCCAGAATCACAGACTCTGCCTTTAGTCTCACTGTAGGAAAAAGCAAACGTCTGTGAGAGATGGAAGATTATCCAGCAGCTCTGATAAATTCAGTTCAACCTGTGGATACAAACGTTTAAAATAGAAACCGTTCATCTCGATGGAAGAGAGCGCCGACAGCTTGATCTCTACAGTCAGACATGTTCAGGACAGGAAGCAGCTGCTGCTCCCAACAAGTCACGTTCATAGCCGAGTTAGCCACGGTTTGATTAAACATATTACACTTTTCAGACAAAGTTCATTGTTCACCCCAAAAATATGAAAACAGTCATGGAAAAACATTCATGTTGAAGCATTGGTTTGTTTTCTTTTACTACTACTACTTAGTGAAGATTAGAAACATGCACAGACTTCAGATTGGGAATAAATTAGCTCTTTCATGTGTAATTTCTACAAAGAAATCTTTTATTGCGTGTATAAATATTGTCTATACAAAGTCACATCTCGTTGCTCTGATATAAAATTTGATGTACAAAGTTTTTCACAGACTACACACAGTAGCATCAACAGTACCTCATGTGGAGAGTCGGTTAAATATCAGTGAGCAGTAAAAAACTAAATCTATCAAAGAGGAACACTGAGGAGGTCTAAGGCAAGCAAAGAGTTGGCACAAGGCGCAAGGTGAGACTGAAAAGAACTCGTTTATCTCTAACAAACTCATTAGATGGTCTTCATATGGAAACCTGCCTCCTGAGCACACTAACCTACTTTAAGTATTGCTTTTCTTCGTATGACAGCTCTCACAAAACAAGTCGGTATAAAATATGGCTGTTTGGCATCGGCTGAGGTCAGTGTCTGTGCTGCATCACCTGTAGTGTGTGCTGTGCTTATTGCTAATGTCCTCGGAGTCGCTGATGTCGCTGAGGGAGCACAGGCTGCTCTTCAGGGTGCTCCCGGTTCCAGCTTCAGTCAGACCTGACAACAGAAGACAACCGGGTTTATGTCACTGCGGTCCAGACAGGACAGGTCTAAATATAGGAGACTATCATCATCTCGTCTTTATACCCAGAAGGTCGACACGTCCTGACATGAAGGTCGTAAAAGAGAATTAAAAATGCATGTGAGCAGGTGTGGCACTGACCTGATTTGGGAGCCTTTCCTGTGGAGGTTCCCCAGACGCTGGTGCTGGGCGAGTCCAGGCTCTTCCTCAGCAGGCTGGAGCTCTGTGCCGGTTTAGACGCTTCTTGTCTTTCCTCTAATGAGGAAACCATCCACTCGCTGCTCTCCTCCAGATCTGTGTACTGCCAGCACATACAGAAATCAGATTATCAATCCTCAGGTTTGTCGTTTATCAAAGTAGCTAATAATGCTAACTTCACTATGGAGCAACAACCAACTGATGCAAACAGAGCTCCGTCCTTTTACCGTGAGTTCCTGGATCTCGTCGTTCCTCTCTGGTAAGATGCTCACGCCCCCTGCTGGTTTCTTGACCACTCTGTCTGCAAACTGCTTCTCCACTCTTCTGGCGATGTCATTGATCTTGTTCTCTACAGGAAACAGATCATTTAAAATACGTTAGCGTGGCACATCAATGACCAAACTGACAGCTGGGAGGAATAAAGTCCAAACATTCTTCTGGTTTAAATCCTAGAAATCTTTCCAGAAAACACTGAGAGCTCACGTTGCCACTTCAGCATGAACAGTGTCGATCTCTTAACGTATTCAGCAGCTTATTTTTCAAGCAGCACGTGCTGTCATGATGTTCTGCTCCTTCATGTTTAGAGCGGGCAACACTGCCTTCATAAGATACCATGAGAGGAAAACTAGCAAAGTGTACCAACAGCACAAACTAACAAGCAATTGAACTTAAATGAGGCCCCAGGTCTCTAGGACATCCAGCAGGGCCTTAATTATAAAGCTTTTGTAACCTGTACACAGGTCCATCATATGTGTATAAATATACACTTTAAACCTCTTCAGTGCTAAAACTACAACTCGGATCCATGTTTATTACTGTTAGACTGGACCGAGCTTGGCTGCTCTTTCTTTACTGACGTCATGTTTTTTGGGTAAAGCTTAAAACTCTGTTACAACAGATGTCATTGCAGTGTATAGACAGTTTCCTACACATTAAGTGAGGAGGGTCACCAACCTGAAAGCTGCCCTTAAAGACTTTTTAAAGATCCTGGGACCTGACATAACTGGACTCACAAAATCCATCAAAAAGCTCAAGTCCAATGATTGCAGGTAAATTCATTTCTCTCATTTCTAAACAAAACTAATTTAATCTTTCACCAGTTTTAAATAAAACCAAGCATGACTGAATAGAGACAAGCTGTTTTATTACATCCTGTGAGCGAGCAGCTGTGACCACGACCGACTGACCTTTGCTGTGGTTTCTCTTGTCCACATTTCCGTTCTGGTCTTTGTAGTTCTGCAGCTGTCTGGGATCAATCTCCTGCAGCTCGCTGACTTCTGACCATCCGTCCCCCTCGTCGTCGCTCTCCATCTTTGTGACCGCCGTCTTGGTCACGCCGCCCACTGACGCCCGGGACTGCTGGTGGGTGGAGGTGGAGGACTGCCTGACTGCAGCCTGCCTGCTCAGCACTGGGCTGGCTTTGCTTGCTCTGATTTGGACTGGAGTCGCCTGGTTGAGTCTGGGCTGTGGGGATTTGCCCCTCTGGGGTTTCACGGGCTGTTCCTCCTCCGAGTCTGTGTCCTGTTCTTCAGAGTCCTCGTCTGAGCTGAAGGGAGGGGTCCTTAGAAATCACACAAACATGACGGCTTTTACTTTTTCTTAAAGCTACAGAAAATCTTAAAGGATGATTCCCGTTTATTTCAAGCTGCTGTGTACCCCGTGTGCTGCGATTTGATTCACTCTGTTCTTGCTCAGGGTAATTCATTATCCAGCACACATATTTATAACAAGTGGACATTTGTGGAGGAACTGTTTCACACAAAGGCCAAGCGGTGAATTTTGCCATACTTGCTTGAGAGGATCTTCAAGGCGGTCTTAGCGTTGGGCGTGGACGTTTTCGGTTGGGCGGTGGTCTTAGTTCTTGGTGCCGGCTGGGGGGTTTTGGGCTGTTTGACGGCAGATCCGGATGTCGCCTGGCTCCCTCTGGAAGGCAGGCTGCTGGATCGAGGCCGAATCTGCACCACTACACACATGAAACCAGAGAAGGCAGGTTACAAATGCAGCATGGCTCACAGGAAGCTAGCTGGTATTATTACAGCAGAGTTGACCACTGGTCTGTGGGCAGATTAAGAGTTTAAAAAGATGACCTAATGTGCTAAGGGGCTTTGTGATGACTCAGTCGTGGGAAGTACCTTGAACAGGGTGCCTGGATCTGGCCTGTGACTGTGGAGCAGGATCGCTGCCTCTCCTCTGACCTCCCAACTTCTGCTCCACAGCGCTGGCCATCTCCTCCCGATGGAGCCAGTAGTCGGGCATATTCTTTGAAATGCTCTCCCGGTCTGAATGCAGCTTGGCCAGGATGGAAGTGAGCTCCTTGCTCTTTAGACCACTCTGATCCTGAGATGAGTGAGAGGGAGTAGAATCAATCACAATATCACAATCACAATAAAATGTTGACCTAGTATGTACAAGTACAACATACAGGCTTGATGCCCAGGTTCTTCAGCCTCTGAACGACAGCCTGCTCCAGCTCTGGTCGCATCTCTCTCTTAATGTTGGGGTTCCTTTTCAGAGCGCTGCTGTTCACCCTCGGTTTCTTCTCTGGTGCAGGCTCGGGCTTCTTTTCCACTGGCCTCCGCTCAGAGATGCTGCTGGAGTCTGTAAAACACATCTCACTCAGTCAACCTGGTAGACAATCAGGATGCAGCTGAAGGCAGGAGAAGCCAAAAACAAAACAAAAAAAGAGCATGCATTTGCCAATTTCCACAGCAAGCTCTACGTCACAGACTCAGTCAGGTAGATGGATGTGACCATGGTCGAGCAGGCAGAAGAGGAGAACATCTAGTTTCTTTGCCACAATCGAGGCAACACGGTGACAGATGGACATGATGATGATCAGCAGTGCTGACACGGCATCACAGACTAGATCACAGGCCATGAGCTGGCTTTCCAAAAAGCTTCCTCACACTAAGGTCATCTTAACGCACTTCATGCGAGTACAGACTAAGATGATCTCAGTCCTGACACTCAAAGAAAGGCAGCTGAGAACAGACTGATGCATCCATGCAGCAGCATGCAGTCGACCGGCTCTTTCACTTTGAGCGTCTCTTTTACCTTTCTCCTCTTCTGACAGCTCCTGTATAGGATCCAGCTTAAGAGCAGAGACTGGCTCCTCTAATTGGACAGCACATGAGGTCAACGGTCATTGGGAGTCAGATAGAACAGGCGATAAAAGGGAGGGGAACAAGAATGTGGGGACAGCAAAGCTTTCTTAGGAGTGTTCTGTCAGACACAGCATCAGGTAAATCCTTCATGCACATGCTCAGCCTCTGTAGGAGTGATCATGTTTTATATTCTGATTCTCTGGTGGCCGCTGGCTTCTGTGTAATGACTTACCGAGTACAACTCTCTTTTGTTTGTGCTCCGGTGCTGGTGAACTGACAATGACTGGAAAACAGAGAGTAGGATGTGTGCATTAGGATCATAAAAGTGGTTTTCTTCACTGATAAAGTAACAGAGAACGTACGTGCTGCACATCAGTCGCAGCTCTGTATAGTGAGCCACAGGGTGAGCCATAAGAAAAGCAATGCGTACCTGGTAACTCCACGACTTTGGGTGGTGGCTGCGTGGAAATTGTCTTTATCTGTGAAATAATAAAACACCACTTATTACATCTCATGTGCATGCCTACAGAAAAAAACAAAAGTCTTTAAGTCTCCATTAAACTAGCTTCTCCTTTGAAACTTAAAACGCAGAAACCCAAAACCCCGTCACAGCTCCTTATCTTAAATGTGGAGCTACTTCAGGAAAAGCATTAGTAGCTTCCTGTGCACTATGGTTTCTGCCAGAAGTACAGTATCATCAAGCGTTACCGCAGCAAATACAGGATATCCTGAACAAGAGCCGGCCCTCGGCTTCACTTCCCGTCCTGACATAATGGCTCTGGCTGGTGATTACTGTGAGTGGGGCTGAGCACTAACCTGCTCCCTCTGAGCCTTGATGGTTTGCTCCTTCTCCTGCAGCCTCCTCCCCATCTCCTGCTGCAGCCTCTGGCTGCGCTCCTGGTGCTCCGACAAGGACGACTGCATTCTGCTCACCTCGTTCAGCCACTGGCGGAAATAGGAAGAGGATGAATTTTCTAATTGGTTCATTTTATCTAAAGCTCATTCAATCCTGCACTTAGCGATGCTTTAATGACACGACAGCTATGATAAACACTAAAGCGTACCTGATTCTTTTCAGACTCGTGCTGAGCATTAATTTCTTGCAGTCTGGATTCCCACTTTTTATCCTAAGAGAGAATGTTTTAAGGATGTTAGGCTGCATTAAATATCACATTAGGTTTTACACAGTAGCTCCCTTCAGTACTTGCCTGTTTCTTAATTTGGTGTTCTAGCTTCTGGATGGCTTGTATCTGCATCTCTTTGTAGATGTCCAGATCTCTCTCCGGCTGCGACTGCACAGGACTGACGGACTTTTCGTGCTTGGCTGTCTGGTTCTGATTCACTTCCTACGAATGAAAACACATGTGGAAGAAGTTAAAGAGGCGTGAATGAAAAACATGCTGGAGATCAAATGAATGTATTATTAATAAAAGCTATTGAGAAGAAGAAAAGATCCAAAGATCCTTTTCTTACGTTAAGAGCCTGAATATTTCGGTTGTAAAGAAACTCCATTTCCTTGCGCATGCCGTCCCGGCTGTCTTCTATCTTCCTGTCCATGCGTGCCATCTCCTCAGCCTTAAAGCGATCCAGCTCTCTCAGCAGGTCTTTGTGCATGGACTGCTGCTCTTTTTCCTGGAATCACAGTGACAGCAAAACCAAAAATAACTGGAGTTGTTAAGTTTGTTTAATCTCTCATCTGCAACTGCACTCAGCATAGCGCAGTCATATTACCAACAGAGATTCATGAGTCAGCCTGAAGTCTTTGTCTGGCATTTACAGTAAGGTGGTAAGTAACAACAAGATCAGATCAGTAGGTTGGCTTTGCCTTCATAACAACACCAGAGCTTGAAGAAACCGTGTTTTTATACGACAATGTGGCCTCCTAGGGGGCAAAACAAAACCTTTAACAACCTGAGAGACGACATTGTGTGTGCTATTAGCTCTATAAACTTGACGTAAGTCAGTCAATAACCACCTACATCAGAACTCAAAGACACTCAGACTGATCCGAACTTGCTTTGTCGTCCTACCTGAGCTACTTTAGCTGCTAAGGTCTGCTGCTGCTGAACGATCTGCTCCTTCAGACTGCTGATCTCCAGTTTGAGACTATCGATTTGAGATTTCTTGTCACTGTCAGACCGCAGCTCTGGAAGGACATAGAGCAAGAAAGAAAAACAATGTGAGGAACTTTCACATGCTTGGTCCTCCGTCTACCATCATGTATCACACCCCCTGTCCCTCCATGTCCCTCTGATAAACTTTGAAACAGCCTTTACGTCTGACTGACTTACGGATCTCGTACTCGTCAGGATGCCGCCGCTGCATGTGATTCTGGAGAAACGAGGAATTGAGGAAGGTTTTATCACAATGTGGACACTAAGAGGAAGACAAAGAAAAGACAGTTTCATCAAAACATTGGTCTAAAACGTTCGTTCTACTTGTTTACATGTAGTCTGAGCTCTCAGTAGTCACACTGCTGACCACCCAGCAGGGCTGTAAATAATTAATCGCCAAGTTATTTTTCTTGATTGTTCATATTTAGGTCTGTAAAACATCAGGAAACAATGACAAATGTTTGTCTACAAACCCAAGGTGATGTTTTCAATTTATCCAACTAACAGCTCAAATCACAAAGCACAGAGGAAACAGCATGACCAGTTTAACTGATGTTTAAAAAACAAAACTGCAAAACACTGAAATCAGCATTTTTCAAAGTGCTCACAGGTGTTAGCAACACTTGAAAAACATCCCCTGTAGTTCTCCAGTGTTGTCATTCCACATGCTGCAAATCAGGCCCACTTAGATTCTTACAACATCTACAAACCATATTTTCTCACGACTCTGCACATCGACATTTCACCACGCTGAATGCATCTTCAAAACAACTTGCTGCTCTATATACTGTGTCTGCTGCATTTATTTTATTGCTCCAGCATGTTTCATTTTCCTCTAAATCTCTCTTGCTGTCTTCTATCTGCTCTGTGTAATCGCTGCCTGCAGTTTAGCTGAATTCACTTCCAGATAAACCAGTCATGGCGTCTCAGTTGCTCTGAAGAGTGCAGAATCTTTTTCTTTCAGGCGTAAACAGTGTTGTTTTTTCCCCCTTTACCTTTGAAAGACGATTCAGAGGATTAAATGGCCAATCAGTTATGAAAATATTTCCAAGTCAGTGAATGAACGAAGCAGGCAGCGGTTCCGGACACAGCTCAGGTCAACAGACAGAAGTTCATTTCACTCCAAACAGCAGCTTCCAGACATGTGTTTCCACAGACAGATAGCGTGAGTGATGCTGATGTGCTCCCTGCTGCAGGCGTCGCCACACTCCAGCTCACTGACACCTAACGAACAGAAGAGATGCTGCCTGTGCTCCACACATCACACGCTGCATTTAACACGACCACTCCGTGTGTCTGTGACTTCATCCCACATTAAACCTGCTGCTGCTGATATCTAGTTGCACCGTATGACAACAAACATTCATGACACGGAGAGGTATGGCAGCGCTACAATGGGACCGTCTGTGAGCGCTGCGATTGCTTTACTAGCTTGAAATAACTGTGAAAATTGGAAGCAAAATTAAATTAGTCTCATAAAGAGCCTTGTGTGGTAGAAATGTGAACAGCTCCCACAACAAACGCCAAAGGTCCTCGAAGGACACGAACACATGGCATTTCTATTAATTATTGAACTCGCCCGGTTAGCTGAGCTCCTTGCGCACACCTAGCAACCACACGCTGTCATGACACACTATATCTGTTGCCTTGGCAACCGCGTGGCCAGGTCAGCAGCAGCCGAACACTTGGAGATTTTTGATTCGTGCTATAAATAACCTGATGGTGAACGAGCTGCGTTACCCAGCAGAGACAGACAAACAGATCTGACAGGACTCGTCTCCACAGGTGACTAGAAAGCATTTAGACAAAGCAGCAGATTGTCATGTACACAAACGACAACACACTGCTCACATGAGGGGGAGGGGGAGGAGGGGTTCAGCCGCTCATGCTGATTATTGCTCTTGCACCCTTTTTGTAAGTGGATTTAAAAAAAAAAAACTAATTGCCACAAAATGACACCATCTGCTCGGCAGCTCTAAATCCTTTTCTTCCAGCCTGGAGACGAGGCTTATTATAACGACAGCACAACAGCTCAGCCACGGTAGTTTCTACAGTCCAGGACAACTGCAAACATTTCGTCAGGCTCTGATAAAAACCTTCCCAGTCTCCCTCCGAACCCTGATGTGAACCACACAAAGCTGAAGCTGTGAATAGACCTTGGGAACAATGACAGTGAGGGGCCTGGAGGAGGACCGAGGGGGTGGGGGGATGGAGCTAGCTGCCTGCTTGCCATACGTATGTGAAATGCAAATGGTTAGCAATACCCCCCAGGGAGCGAGCATTTAGCCTGTCAGCAGTACCTTCTGGCTGCTGATGATTCGTGGCGCGAGCAGCGACTGCTGAGTGCGAATAACCTTCTTCCGCTGCTTGAGCTCGGTGGTCAGCGCCTTCGTCTTCTCCTCCTGCTTCTTCTGCTGAGCCAGCAGCTGCTCCCGCTCCCTGCTGGCCGCCGACAGCCTCTCCTCCGCCGCACGCAGGTTGAGGCTGAGGAACTCCTGGCAGTGGAGGAGCCACTCCACCGTGAGCTGAGCCAGCTGCAGGAGCTTCACCAGAGCCGGGTCCACGGGGCTCTGGCACCGCTGGCACCGCTCCCCGTCCAGGCTGCAGAAGGTCACCGTGCTGATGTGCTCCTGGAGGGCGTCCACGTCCAGCTGGCTCACCACCAAGTCAATGTCCACGGCGTTGATCCGCCGCCAGTCCACGCTCTCTCTGCGCGGACGGAACTTGAACGGGAGAACGGCGGAGGCTCCACTGGATGGAGTCATACCTGATGCAGCGTTGGCAGACTGCTGCTGGCTGAGCGGGGAGTTGAGGAGGGAGGGGATCCCTGCTGACGAGCGGGTGTCACTGGTGTAGGGGTAGTACACGCCGTCGTGAAATGGCTGAAACAAAGACACACACGAAGCAAAGCTGATCAATTCACATTAGCATCAGATGCCCTGCACACAGGAAAAGGGTGAAATGAACACAGACAGCCGGCAGCATCTGCTCTGGTGATGAAAACAGCAGATTCCCCCACAGCAGACCTCCATCTACCTCTGATGCTGCTGCTGCTGCTGTCCTCAGGCAGCCGTGCTCTCCTTACCATCTTCCACTGATCTTGCCTTCTATCAGTCGGAGGTCGGAGCTCCGTCGTGTCTCTCCGGTTCCGCCCCCTCGCAGGCAGCTCAGACGCTGGGCGTCCGCCACGTTACCATGGAGACAGAGACGGGCGTCCCTGGGGACACAAGTGTTGAGAAAACACGGCGGGCGATCAGTCAATGCGTCCCCGCAGAGCGAGGGGGACGGGCTGAACGCATCCCACAGCCTAGTACGGATGGAAACCTGCCCTCGCTTCAGTCCTGAGAACGGAGAAGAAGCAGCCGAACTCACCTGAAGCCCCAAAATGGTTCCCTGCTAACAGCCCGCACCGCTAATCCCAGACTGTTACTTCATGTCGGGGCAGGTTTTTGTTTTTTTTTTTAACCCTCCTGCCTGCCCTCAGCCTAAACAATGGCAGACAAGCTCGAACTTGTCCGAGCTGCACTTGAGAAGTGTTTCTGGAGGCTACGTTTAAGCACCAAACAGCTCACAAACAGCAGCTTTCCAGAGAAGTCCGGCCGCTAGCTTCTGCCGTGAACCTGGACGAGCTAACGGACGTTTGTGAGCGAGCGGTTGGACAAAACTTTAAAACAACCTAATAATGCATCACCAACAATTGTAGAAGTTAAATATTTAGTTTAGCATTAAATCACTCCACTAAAAGCACTTACTGTATGTGTCGTGTTGTTAATTCATAGCCTCAGAAAAAGTTCGCTCTCGACGACACCCCGGGCGATGGAAGGGGGTGACGTAGCTGCTGGGCTCCACATTCCTCAGTCCCCGCTGGAGAACGGAGGGAAAGGCTCGTGAAGCTAACGCTGATATGGACGCAACATCCGGTACGACCCTACAAAATAAAACATTATCGCTTGAATGTTTTTGTCAGGAACCACCATTGTAACATCCTGGCAAGTTTTTTGTTGTTGTTGTTCTTTCCTTTTCCTTTATTTCCTTGTTTCTTTGCAGTGATTATTTTCTTTTCCAGCTGACATTTTAAATATATGGAGCCATACATTTTATTTGCTGTCTCCATACACTGTTTTTGTTGTTTTTTCAAATGGTTTCTCCTGTTTATAAAATTAATTACTACGATAGAGTCACAACAACATTTTGTCAGTTTTCACTTAGGGTCTTTTTTAGCATGACAGTAACCTTAATTCATCTTTAAATCAATCAGTTTAATTGCAGGAGGAAATCAAAATAAGTGGTTTTGAGGTTTGTTGACGTAATACTCTGACAGAACAAAATAAGCCGTTGTGGGGTTATTTTCGAAAAGCATTTGCTATATATGATAAGAAACAGTGTACAACACAGCATGCAATTGTTGTGCAAAGTTTGCTGGTCGACAAAACAGCAATAAGATGACTATAATGCTGGTATTTACAGAAATGTGCAATAAAAATCAAAATGATATGGGGTAAGAAGCAGATCTTCCCTCGTGACCCTTTCAGGATTTTACATTTAGTTTTACAATAATAAAAGCTGTAGCTACACACAAACACATTCTGCAAAGTCATTTTAAAGCTGTGATAATTTCGTCTCTCGGAATTTTACTTTAGAAGCTCAGCTTCTCACTTCCTGTGTTATTACGCTGAACGTGACGCAGTGCGTTGAGGGGGGAGGGAGGTTTAAACGGGGGAGTCTGAAAACAGGGGTGAGGGGGTGAGGAGGGGGTGAGGGGGGATGCAGCGCTTCAACCGGAGGAAACGCAGCCAAACGTTTTTTAAAAACGCAGGAGGAAGAGCAGAGAAGCGGCCAGAGCAGCGACACGAGAAGCTGCAGGAGGGTTGGAGCAGTTAACGGACACATGAGGAGGAGAGCCGCCGGGGAGGAGCGCCACCTGCTGGTCACCTTCACACAGGAACACACGGTCACACCGGAGACCTGTTTGGCCAAACAAGCTGGAATTATCCAAGTAAAAATGCAAAAAAAAATAAATAGAATAA